ATCAGCATTGTTTGCTTCAAAATTTCGTCTGTTTATTTTTGATTTGGAATATTTTGTTTGTTGCAAAAAAAAAAATTTGCTAAAATAAGTATGAAAAAAAGTTTGTCGAAAAAAACTTTGAAAATGTGATCGACTGATTGCGGGGCGGAGAAGGTGAGTTAAAAACAAGGGAGGAAAGAACTAAAAAAAAACGCTATTGTTTATTGATCATTTTGTTTATTATGTACAAATGAAACTAGTAGTTTTAATTGAAATTGAAAACTGTTGATGACAATAAGCAAATAATGCATCATTTTATTCCAGTGAATAATGTGTCATGATTTTTTTAGTTCTTTTTTATTCAAAATAAATTTATCACATTAGAATCGATTAACTGTATTAAATTTATATTACAATTTGCACTTTTTATAATATTATTTTGTTAATCAAATATTAATATTGCGCGCACGCAAACGAAAGAAAAACATTAAGTTCATTTGAATAAATAGGCGAAATTTCCCTTTTTTCTCTTTTAATAAAAAATAAACAAAAAAAGTTGTTAGTCATTAGAAAGAATTAAAGAAATCATACCAATCATGTGTCGAATTTTATTGTTCTAAATAAACATATATATAACATATTTGCGGGTAAAAAAAAATTAAATGAATAACAAGACAAACAATAATACAAAGTTATTTGTTCATCTTGTGGAATATGGAAAATTCTCGTCATCGCGAGAGAATCTTGATAATAATTTCATACAAATTACAAAAGTTTTTAATCATAATATATTGAGAGCAGAAAGAAATGAATGAGGATAATCAAAGGAAACGTAGTTTGATCTTGAAAATACTGAAATTTCGAAAAAAAATAATATATGAAAATCTTCACTTAAGAGAAAAAGAGCAAAAAAAATTACCTTTGAAATAACTTAGCTAATATCATAAAATTATAAACATATCGAAATGAAATAATTAATAAAGCAATCATTGTAACATAAATGTAATTTTTCTTCGAATTAAAAAATGATATTATTATTCGAATTTCGATCATTATATCATCAATTGAATGTTATGCCTAAAAAAACAAGAAATTGAAACAAATAACTCATTCACATCTAAATATTTAAAAAAAAAAAAAAAAAAAAAAAAAAAAACTTAAAAAAGCAATTTAAGCAATCATTTAGCAAATAACCGAAGTTAACTAATAAAATTAAAAATAACTGAATTGTATTTCAAAAAAAAAAAATAGAAATTAAAAGGTTTAAATGAAAATTAAGATTAGAAGTCCATCTGATTTTCGGTCAGAAAAAGAAAGAATTACAAGAAGGCGAACGACAAAGTTAGAACGACTTGGAAAATATATATATATGTATGTGTGTTTGTTGGACACTATTGAAATGTTGAAAAGTGTTGAGGAGGAAGTGAACTCTAAAGATGAACGAGCTAAAAGATGCTATCAAAAATCTGAGAATGTAGCTAAACAACATCAAACGTTCCATAATGGTCTGTAAACATAATAACCTCATTCATTTCAAGTTGCTATTAATGATTATAGATACTTGAAGAAATTGAAATGTGAACTATGAACTATGATATCATAAACATAAAATATTTGTGATACATTTATTAATCATTTGAATCTTATTAATTCTGAAGTGAGAATCAAATGATATTGTTTCGCGGTGATCGCTTCTGTTTTCTCTTTGTCTTAGGAAAGGAAAAAGAATTATTTATTTTGGGGTGCAATGGAAATTTCTGTTTTTAGACACTTAAATTCATTTGGTATGCTTAATAGTTAAAAGCAGTAATAAGATTAGTAACAAATATAATATTTTCGAAATATGTAAGTGATAATGAGAGCAAAGTTTCATGAAACGAACCTTATAATTAATAATAATAATAATAATTATAATAATTATTATTAATAATAATAATAATAAGGAAAATTCTAGCTACTCTGAGGAAATTCCAAACTTATACATGCATAATAAATCATTTTTTTCATGATTTCTTTGTGTTTTGATAATATTTAAAAAAACTTGTAGAAAAAAACACATTTATGTTAAATATTGTGATCATTTAGCATAACATCAAGGAGTCTCGAATGCTTTAAATAAAATAATACCATTTTTATTGTTATGAATTGATTACCGGGATAACTTTATAAATTCCCGATATGGTATGATTCACAGGACCGAATAAAATCGTTATCGTTGATCATAGTTATAAGAAAATGTTAATTATCTCTCAATTTAAAAAAGTGTTCATTTCTACCATTCAGGAGATTTAAAAAATCCATAGTATAATAAGATCAAAATATTTGTCAGTTACGAGGATTTCGAGTAATATGAAGAAATTAAATTATATCGATAATTTCTTGGAAATTTCAACAAAATTATAGTTTCGAAACAAAAGTAATACTGAGATTTTGAGCAAATAATTTGGCCATTCTAAGATAAAAATTATCAGTAATGTGTTTCATCTCATCAGGATATGTGAATTGATGTGCTATACTTGATTTATTGCCAAATGAAGTTTGAAAACTTGAAAAGTAATGCAGTATTTTGTCCGTCATTATCGTACTTCCATATTTTTTAAATTTTTACATACTCTCATGAAAAATACAATATTTACATTTGTCACTTAGTTCGTGATGACTGCTTGTCATGTTTATTTTTCTGTATTTGAACTGTAGAAAAGCTAATTGCTAGAGATATTTCGAAATGTAAAATTTTCCTCAGGATTATAAAGTTCACTCCATACTTTATGAACAAGTTCCTCACTCAAACTTTCATGAATTATATCAAGTGAAAAGTCAAAAGTCAGCAACGTAATCAATGACTTCCTTCCTATTTAAAAATTTTTATCCATTTCTTTTTATCATTTCTTATATATTTATACGTTTCTGAAAAATGTTTAAAATTGTATTTTATCCACATTTTTACACCAAATTAACAACAAAAAAAATATGAAAAACATCGAAAATTAAAAAAAAAAAAAAAAAATGAAACGGCACTACTCGTAAATACTCCATTTCAAATAAATTGAAAATAATGATGCAGATAAAGCTCTTCAATCAGAAAAGTAAATTTTTAAAAATTTTAACCGATAAACTATATTTCATTATATGTTAATGTCACCTAATCAAAAAGTTTTTTTTTTTTTTTTAATGGATGAATATTGATGTTTTTTTTTTTTTTTTGATGGATGAATATTGATTCGTATAGTTTATCGATCAATACAAAAAAAATAGCAATATTTTTTCATATTAAAAAAGGATAAAATTTGAACAAGCAAAATAATTTTATAGTACTTTATCCAAGAACTAGCACAAAATTTTGTTTTCTTTTTGAGGAATGAAGAAGTGCTAAATGGAGGAAGAACAGAAGAAATTTTTTGTCAACTTAGGACATTGGGAGGCTTCAAAAGCCATACCTTAAATGTGTTTAGAGAATAAGTGCACTTTCGACAAAATCAGAACTTATATTGAACAGGAAGCAATTTTAAGCTCATGCTTCAAAAATATTTCAAATTTCAGTGCGAAATTTAGAAGTTCGGAAAGCAGTAAGAGCAAAAAAAGTAAGAAAAATGAGGTCTGTCAAAAAAAAAAAACTTCCACCACTAATTTCTAAAATCTTATTTATTCTGGATATAAATACACAAGCATTTTAATAAAGATTTTACAAATTCAGTAAATTCAAAAATAACATATTACATGCTTTTTTCAGTTATTTAAGATTTTTTGACAATATGTTTTCGATTTATTCATTTCATTTACAAAACCACTAATTTAAAAAATAAGCAAAAAAAAAAAAAAAAAAAGAATGAGATCTAATTTGATAAAGGGAACGGCTTTTCTGATTAAAATTAAAAAAAAAAAAATTTATTCAATTAAGCTTTAACATTTCGTCCTTACCTGACTAAAAATTTCGAAAATTCACCGATGAAAAAATAATTTGAAAAACAAACAAAAACATAATGCAACGAGATAACATCCATACTTTTCAAAAAGCGAATAAAATTAAAATAAAACAAAAAATTGAATTCCACAATAATGTTTCGCCTAATTCAAATTATTTATGCATCTAATGGAATAAATCAAATATTGATAGCATATGTAAACATTCAAAGAGGCAAGAGAGAGAGACAGGAGAAAGGAAAAAAAAAAAGAAAAAACAGGCGGAAAATGAAAGTACTAAGCTCATCGTACATTAACGAAATAAAGAATTCCTTCAAAATAATTATAATTAATTATCATTTTGCACAAATGTGAAAAAGAAAGAAAAAAAAAAAAACACAAATATTTTTTAGCAAAAAAAATAAATCGTTGCTTGTGAATATTAAGGATTGAGAAATATATAAAAGTGGAATGATTTTATAACTGATAAAAGGTGAATTTCTTTGTTGTGAGGATTGATCGTAGCACAGAGTTGTATCATCAAATGATATCCTATTTCATCCCATAATGAAGACACATTTCAAATGTTTCTCTTTATGATGAAAATTTAAACAATCAAAATAAAAATAAAAATTTGGGCATGCTTCCGTGCCTTACTGATGTTTAGTTTAACTTCTCCTTAAATTCAAATCTAATTCTTATTAAATTTAAATTTAATTTTGAAATAGAACCATATTCAATGCATAAATTGCACCAACAACAACCAAAATCATTTTCAGTTTTCATATTAACTTGTTACATATATATATATATATATATATATATATATATATAAGCTGAATTAATTTTTTTGTTATATACTGCAAATTATTCTATTATAAATTAATAACCCGAAAAAAACAATATTTCATTTTAAATGTTCCTAAAATTATCAATAATTAATAAATTATCATAGGATTGATTTGTATCGCTAAAGACTAAGCAATGAATTAACTTTAGCAACAAAAACAAATGATAAGAAAATAATGGGATCAAGCTCATCGTCACAGTAAGAAATACCTAATGTTATACATAAAGAATGGTTACAGTTCTGAAATTATGCATACTAATCATTGGATGAGTCACCTTTTTTGTATATTACCAGTGGTAAGGAAAAATTTTTCTTGTTGTTGTCGATCAAGATTATCAGTCTGACCGTATGCTACTGATACCGGATTATAGCAATGTGTAGAACGATTTTTTAATAAATTTTGATTTATTTCAACGTCAGTATTATCACCTTTGATATGCATCCATTTAGACGAACTTACGTAATCATCTTTTAATTGATATTTTGTTTCACCACCATTTGTACGTCGGATTGGTGTTGGACGTGTACCACTTTCAATTATCCTAAATACAAAAATGATTTGGAAATTCGACAAACATTTTCTCTCTCAGTTAATTTTAATCTTTTGATTTTTTACATTTCACTACTACCAATATTTCATTATATTGTTCCTTCACATCTCAATGATACAGTCTTGTATTTCTTGGCTCTGCTAGTTTCTAAAAAATTTTATTATTAATTTAAATTTAGTAATTTTATTCATATTAGGTCCAGCAAATTGAAGTGCAAAAATTGAAGTACTGGAAAAAGATGAACAACTTACTTTTGCAACTTTTTATCTAGACTAGCACATTGAGGATAGTATGTTGTTGCTGTTGAATTGATCATATAACGATCGCCAAGTTGATTGTTCGGCATTAGTAGCTGTCGTTCAGAAGGTAATGCCGGAGCTTTCGGAGGTGGGAGATTTGGAGGTGGAGGCCTTAATGAAAATGAATACCGAGTGCTTGTAATACCTTGCGCCGACTGACTATTTTTAGCAGCTTGATTCTTCCGTAAAAAATGAATAGCATATGTTATTAATGTAAATACAATAATGAGCACTAGTAGACCACCGTAAAAGTAAAGATTTGACAATACACCATGATCTGATCCTGAAAAAAAAAAAACAATGTATTCGTCCTGAATATTCATTACGTCAGTTGATCTTTTTAAATAACATTTAGCTGTATTAACATTGTTAACAACAAATGAACAATAAATAATCTATCATATGACAATAAAAACTGGTCTTAAAATTCGAAATCAAAAAAGCGAAAATTTTCAAATGCTAACTTGCAATGACATGAAGATATGCCGATCGATAAGCGATATCACCATGAGCATTTGTCACCACACAAAGATACGTCCCAGAATGCTCATATCGTACATTTGGAATGATAAGCCTGTTTAGGCTTACACCATCCGATAATTCGGCGCTTGTTTCCGGTTTTTCCAGTAGTAAAAGATGCATATTGTTTGCATGAATTAGTGTTGCATTTGCATTTGTTTGACGAATTACATTCGGATCTTCTATCCGTTTCAACCACTACAACTATGGAAAAAAAATTTTTTATGTGCCACAAAATGTATTACTCATCTTACTGTTCCATAATTACAGGTCGTTTTTTATTCTGCACAAACATTTCGAATCGTTAAATAGTTTGTTCCCACTAGTTTAATTACTAGTGCTTTTATAACGGTTTATCTCTTTTTTAATTCAACACTAACTTTAAATTAAGCATTGACTACATATGACACTATCTATCTTAACGTTAATATCACTTAAACTTATATGAAAATCCGAACTGGCATCAATTTGAATATTATAGTAACATTGTTTTCAGAATGTTAAAAGTATCAGAATGAGGATAAGAAGTTGATATTAGTGAAACTATATGTGACGTAACCACGCCACCTTTAAGTGCGTAAATAATGATACCTTAATAAGCGGTTGTTGTTGATTTTTTACTTTACACTGAAATTGAGCAGTTCGACCAACTCGAACAGTATTGTTAAAGGGTTCATCAATGACTGGGTAAAGTTGTGCATTTGTCTGATCAATAGACCAGCTTTCACCATCCAAACCTTCGAAGAAATTTTCCACATAAACGTGAAATGATGCTTCAATGCTGCCATGTTCATTTTCTAGCTTACATACATATTTACCACCTTCACTAGGTTGTACATCGCTTAGATAAAGTATTGCCGAGGAATGGTGATAAGTAATTTCTGAAATATTAAAAAATTTTCAAAAAATGTCATTCAGAAAGTGTATGGATTACATTTTATTATGATAATTTGATTTTAAATGACAATTATCATTTTCTTAATTTTGAAAAGTAACTAATTACAAAAAATTTCATGAATTGATGTAGGATAATCGATAATAACTAATGTCATTTCCACATTCATTTCCAAATTAATACCTCGTTCTAGTGCCTTGCCATCTCTTAGCCAAGTGATATATGGCAGTGGATTTCCTTTTGCTGGACATTTTAGCAATAAAGCACCACCAATTGTTATCCTTATTGGATTTATCATCCAATTTCGAATTTCTGTTTCGTTCTTCCACACTGGTGGAGATGCTATAAGTATTCTGTTCAGATGAATAACTAAATATAATCTGAATCCATCAAATTTGAAATATATTTTCCTATTGTATTTGTTTAATTTAATAAATTCCAGTACAGATTAGCAGTGATTATAAATGAATAAACAATAATAGAATCTTTTTGCTTATTCTCCAACATTTGAAAAATCTGAAATATTTTGAGCTGAATAGAATTATTTTTTTTTTTTTAAAACAGATTTATCCACTCCGAAATGTCACTTATTTCATATTCTGTTGAAAAGGTATGATTTCAGTTTATTTTCTGATATGATATGAATATTGTCAAATGGCTCACAGAATTCTTTAAATTTTAAATACTAAAACCCCCAAAGAAACTTTCCTTTCTCACTCATTTAATTAAGAAATTCTTCCATTTATGGATTGATAGTTTTGCTGTTTTCTAATCGCTTGAAGCATTTTCGAAAACTTCGTCAATCATTACCATTCTTTCAAAGCAACAACTCTCAGTCAGATTTTCTCATTTTCTACTTATCTCTCGAGTGATAACACTATTTCCTTCCCTTGTCTCCTCCAGCTGCAAATAAAAATTCCAACTAACTATATTCCTATCCAATGATGTATCAACTTTTAGCATTCACTCGTACAACTTACATTTTCAAATACTGATTTCAAAATATCATCACAGTGCTTGAATTCAATTTGAATCAAGTAATTAAAATAAATTACCATTAGTAGTGAGTGTCAGTGTACTGTCAGTGTTTTCTTCATTCTCCACTGCTGGATCGTAAAAAGTTACGGTGAAATTTAATTCTCGATGTCCAAATCCATTAACCACTTGACATTGATATATTCCACCATCAGATAGCTGAGGATTACGAATTTTCAGTTCACGATCTGATCGAGCTAATTTGAAGTGATTGTTGAAATCGAATCCAATCTTTAGAAATATATGAGATTTTTGAATTAAGACATTTCCGAACAAAGGATTAATGCAAGTAATTTGAAATTTCTGTTGATTGCAATGCTTAATTCTTAAGAAGTTAAGATAAATGGATCAAATATAATTATTTACTATGTCATAAATTAATCCATGTAATCAGTAGCATAAGTTTTTTTATGTCTAGTATTTCTGTAGACCACTAGCTTCCACATTAATGACCTTTGATCTTAAAATGGTTGTAGTATTAACCTTCAATTCCCGCCTCAAGTACACAATTCAGTGGAAATAAGGAACTCCAGAGAAATCAAGAAACAGTATAATAATTAAATTTACGATAAATGATTGCGTTAGACTTCCTTGTGACCGGGAATCATTTTGAAAATGTTGCAAATATATTAAGTGTAATTTAAAAAATTAGCACTGAGTAAATTTGCTTTATTTTAAATATCAAATTTTAGGTTATCAAAATTACTACTTTTTATTTGCAATAATTCTTGTTTTCTCTTTCTTTTTTTGTGACACAAAGACATGCTGAATAAATTCACCTAATACATCCTCCTCTTTTCACAATATTTTCTCCTTTTTCTTTTTGGGGAGGTAATTACCTGAACGATACCCATACAACCAACATAATAATATGAATTAATCGATACGAAAAATATATGAATTTTCTTTTTTTAAGCTAAAATTTTATAAATTTACTAATTAAAGGCACTTTTTTAAAATATTATCTGAGTGACATAGCTTTCAGTGATAAGAATTTAACTGAAGTAAATATAAACATATAACGTGTGTGTGTGTCAAATTGTTATTCATAAATGCAAAATAGTTAGTGGGGTATGGATGATAAAACTTAAAAGAATGGAAAAGGAGTAAGAAAAAGAAAGTAAACTTTGGGAGATGATTGATAAGGTTTAGATGCATTATCAATTCAAATATGTTAGCAGATTCAAAATTGCTTCACAAAAAGTAAACTGTCCTTCTCTTCCATCATTTATTAGGAAGAGAATTTCACTTAGATTGAGAATATGAATTTGTTTACTGCTAGAATTATATTCTTAAATGGATAAATATATTAACTTTCAAGTATTGGAAATGATTAATAAAATTTAATTTTATATATTGATTATAAGAAAAATTGGTTAAGATAAAGGAGGAATTAGCTTTTCTTTCGCATATATTTTACCTTCGTTTAACTCCTTTAATCCATATAATTAGCTATAGTTTTGCAAAATTTAGCATTACTCAACAATATTGCCCCAAATTTCTAATGCAAAACCAATCATCAGAAAATTTCAATTAATTAACAGTAATTTAATTGATGGCTTATTTTAATACTGAAATTTTTATTATATATTTGAAAAGTTTTTTCAACAAATTCCAAGGATATTTTGAAGAGGAAGAGAAGATAGAATACGAGGGAAGGAAAGACAAGAAGATAAAGAGAAGACAACAAAAAAAAAATGGAAAGCTACAGATGAACTTACCGGTTCATCGTTTTTCTTCCACTGAATCATCAAAAGGTCATCGTTCTTCTCTTTGACAGGACAGATTAGTCTAAACTGCTTCGTTCCAACTGGAACACGAAATTCTGTTTGTGACGGTATTGATAAATCTGGTGGAGCTGAAATTTATTTTCTTTCTTCAGTCAAAAAAATAAAAGGTTCCCCAGTTGAATTATTGAAAATTTGACATGAGGAAAACAAATGAGCAATATTTGAATTGATAGATTGCTATTGCAAGATTTCATCGATCATAAAACTACGATTAATGTTAAGTTAGTGTAAGATAATGGAAGAAAAACAAAATAAAAGCAAAAGTTACAATTTTCACTATTTCAATAGAATTTTTTAATCTTTTTCATCTACAACAGTTTTTTATCAATCAGAACAGATATATTCAACATAAATTTAATTCAGCTGAAAGTGAAGGTATGAAAGGAGAGAAGAGATGATAAATTGAAGTTGTAGCCATTGTACCAAAAAAAGAAAAGATCGTTAAATTTGACCTTTTAACTTTAGAGTACATTAAATTCTTTACTGATGAACAATATAAATTATCATGTTTGTTTGCAATTTTTAATCTCAAACTTCCTTTTTTTTCTAAAAATTCTTCCAATATTTCATTTTTTCAACATTTTCTCATCCTCTTTCTCTTCATCTCTCCATTTCATTCGTATTCCATACCCAATGTGCTTTAAATATAAAGCAGTGTGACGTTTAACGGTGATAATTTTGCGAACATTTCAATCTTCTCTCTACCTCTTTCTTCTCGTCACATTGGGGACACTGAAGAACAAGAGAGGGAGAAGCGAAGAAGAGAAGAAAAGAATGGGTCTATTAAATAGCAGTCAGTCCATCAAACGAAAGAATCAAAATTATAATGACATTATCAGAGTGGACGATCTTTAGGAATAGCTAAATATCAGTGGCCAGTTTGCACTGGTATGAAAGAGCGAACAAACGATAATGAAGCAAAATGCAAGCGCCTATTCTATGTGTCATCTTTAAATTCTTCCTTTCCGCTTATCTTCCAACAGCTCCAATCTATCATAAGTTCTATCTCTATCAAGCAACAAGATTAAAATGGCAATTTTAGCAAATTTTGGGACGAAAGAGAGAAAAAGAAAGCTTGAGTCAGTCAGTCAGTACACTGTACTATATTTTTCATTTTTATTTCACCATATTTTCGAATTCAACTGATTCATTTGCTTATATTGGAAAGAACTGTCAAACTTTCATACACACACATACACACACACACACACACACACTCCTTTCATCATTACCCCTCTTTCTCTATTTTCGGGTGATATCTACCTATTAACACACTGGTAGCATAGAATAATTGAGAATAGTAGCCGGAAATAGTAGCAACAATTGAAATTCATTTTTGTTTGAAATATAAATCAAAAAGAAAAAAAATATTGTTTCATATTTTATTCTGAAAATAATATATTGCTGTTAATAAACTACTAATGAATGATTTTGATTTACTCATAACTTTTATAAAAATTACAATTTCATTTAGAAAAAAATAACGACAAAAAAAAAAAATGAAAGAAAATAGATTATAAATAAATTGTGTGCCAAATATAGATTAAGAATGATTATCAACATGATGAGCACTTTTTATTTAATGGATAATCAAATGCATGAATGAATCCATCTGATTTGCTGGAGATATGTTTTTGCTATCGTCCTATTATTAATACGCTAAATGACCTGTGCAAAATTTGAATAATCCGGATGAAATTTTGAAATTTTCAATTTCTACAAAGATCTTTCGTTTTTTTTGTTGGAACACCTTTTTTTTTCCTTTTTGTTTTGAATTTTAGACAATTGGGTTAACTTTATTGTGTATTCTTTTTCTTTTTCTGTATGCCAGCTTGATTTGACATAAAATAAAAAATTTATTCCTCCTCCACAATTTTTTTCGCAAGTAATTTTAGTTGAGCGGTGTAGCTCAAAGAGTGGCGGTTTTCAACAAAAACCATATTCATTCTTTCCTCTCCTATATTGTTATATTGTTGAGAAAAGAAACTGTTTCCTTTTTCCTTCCTTTTTTTTGTTAAATTATCAAAATTTCCCATTTTTCGGAGTATTTTCTATGGTGTCATTTAGGTGCCTTTAATGGAAGTAATTGAAAAGTCTTTGTGAAATAAAAATTCAGTGTTCCCTACCAACTTGAAAATTTTATGCAAATTCATGATAGAAATTGAATTTTAGTGTTCTGAAAAGTATATTCTGTATCATTTGTCGGTACATTTCAAAAAAGGAAGGGGAAAATGAAAAAAAAGAGGACGGAAAAAAAAACCTATTTGAAACTTCACACGTTTACCACTCAGGATTATCCGGACTGTCACCTGAATTCCATCCATTATTTCACTTAATCATCAATTTCACTATTTAATGAGAATTTAAAAAAAGAGAAAATTTGGAAATCACCGCTTTTTCAGTTTTAAACATCAAACACTGTCTGTCTGTCTGTTCATGGCAAGCAAAACATAATCAGTGGAGCAAATTTCCAGCTGATAAAAAGAATTTGAAAAGGAAACATGTTGCAGTGTTTGTATCGAGCACGCGCATATCATTTAGTAAAATATCAAACAATTTCGTCAAAATTCTCAGTTTTTTTCTTTAATTGGCAACATTAAGTATTCTTAATAGTCGAACATTTAATGATCCGAATAAAATTCACATACTGAACTAACTATTTCAATTGTACAGAATTTTAACAACAAAAATATTGATTAAAAAATGGAAAATAAAATTCCTAAACATTAATTTAATAATTATTACACAAAGTGGCTAAATTTATTTTCATTACTCAAGCATCAAATCATTTTGTCAACTTTTTATTTCAATGTTTTTTTCCAGACATTATAAAGCAGAACAATTTTGAAACTTCTACTGATGCCTGGCATTTTAGAGAAACGGATGATAATTTGACTCTAAGCTGGTGGACGATCTCAGGAGAGTTTGGAAAATATTATAAGTGGTCAGTTGTTGTGCATCTCACTTCAAACAGACATACATCAGTCATTTTATACGAAAAATGACCTTGAATACCTCAACATCGCAACTATTCACTAAATTACAAGTAATTATTAGGAATAAGCTATTAAAAATTTGACCAACTGAAGCAGGATAAAATGGAATAAGTTTGAAAATTAGTCAGCAGCATAATGGAAATCTTCCGGGCAACTCTATTCGGAAATATTCACGCTAATATCAGGAAATAATGTGAATGAATGAGTTGTCTCCCAGATCTCGATGATTATTCAGATGAAAATAGGTTATCTTTCAATGACAACTTTATATTCTGATTGCTTTCTAAATTCCTACAGAGTGAAGCTTAAACTTATCAAAAGATTTGAAGTGTATGAAATAAGAGAAATTATATTATTCACATCTGGAAGGTAAAAGTTGTCAAATTCGGAATAAATCATCCGGACTTCTACTTTTGTAAAATTTCATATTTCTGATTGCATAACCGTATAATTATCGAATTGAGAAATTGTCAAATTGTCAAGGGGGGGATAAGTTACTTAATTATTTTATCTATACTAATAACAATGCTAACAATGTTCTGTAATATCATCGCCCCATTTTAACTATGTATTTTCATTTTCATTTTTTTTTTTTCTACCGCCATAATTATTATGCCATTCTTTCATGGTAAAGTAGTAGAAATTTAATCCATTAATGGCTGCAATGTTATTTTTTAAACTTTTACCTTAGAAAAACTTCAGGAAAAAAAAATTTTTTTTTAAATCAATAAGACTAGAAATTCTATAATTAATCCCAATGAAAAACATAATTTAAATATCATTTAAGCAACAAAATAAGACGATACAATTAATAATTTTTTCCTGTTTTTGTTTTCTGCAAAGATCAAATAGAAGTGAAGAATAAGGAGGCAGAAATTGAACCAACAAGACATAATCAATAATAGGAAATAAACTAACATCGATGTTCGGTAACTGCAGCTGCTGCTGCTGCTGCTGCTGCTGCTACTGCTGCTGCTGCTGAATGAGTTTGTTCTGGAACAATTAGCAGAAGTGTGGTAATGAGTGGTAAGGCAATAAAGAATGATGAAAATGATGATGCATGAGACGAAGCAACAACATAAATGGTTGCCGTAATTGTAGCAGCTGTGGCAGCAATAGTAGCAGTAGCAATGGTAGTAGCAGCAGTAGCAGTAGCAGTTGTTGTTGTTGTTATTGTTGTTGTTGCTATTGTTGCAGCAATAATACTCGACAAACAATACTTCATTCGCCACAAACAATCTTCCCGCTACCCTCCTGCAAAAATAATTTATTGCCTGAGCAATAAATCTATTTCGCTCCTGTGTGCACATTTCAATTCTCCGCCCGAATTTATTAGCCCACTCCCTATCCCGCCTACCATCTACCCGCACCTCTCCCCTCCACCACCCCGCGCCTCACCTCTTCTACCTCCTTTTTTCCCATCCTTCATTTCATCGAGGACACAAACAACCTTGTATAATGTATTTAGATATGATAACCACTTCTTTCTACTGTCCTGTGCTCTTTCTCTTTCAATTCCTCCCCCCGCTTTTTCTTTTTTTTCTTCGCCGTAATTTGGCGATCATTCCGTAGATCCCGAAGGCCAAACCCAAATATTTTATCGATGATCTCATTCATTGGAGATAATTGCTTTTATTGATGTTTTGTACACCGTTAGGGAACGGTTAAATTTTTCAGAATAATGGTACTTAATGAAGTATTCAGTTGGACAACTAATTAATTAATTAATTGACTGACTGACTGAATTTAAATTCTACGGAACTACCAGTAACGTTCAGGTAATCTTTGATACTTGAAATTTTCTATCCAGTCAATAATATGTCACTAAACATGTTCCGTTCGTGCTTTCAACCAGTCTTGATGACATTCTCGTCCCTAATTTTCGCGCGTTTTTAGTGAGGAAAAAATGTGGTGCTGCTACGGCTGGCAAATTGTTGACAAAATTCATTTTTCCTAAATGTTGCAAATAAAGAAAAGGACGAAAAATTAAAACTAAAGGTTTCGTTAAAATATAATTGAAATGCTATGTAATGCTCAAAAATTTTTAATATCTCTTACAAAAAAAAAAATAAATATAAATATTTTAACAAGTATTTTACGTAAATTTAAATTTTATAATACTGGGACAAATTAAATTTGTTACGAGTGAAATGACTTCAAATTTCATAAATTTTTTCTTATTACTGCCGGAAGAAACACATTTGATATTATAATGAATTTATTATAACGGGTGGTTAGATATGAATGAGTGACAAATAAACGAAGTCAGAGAATAATTTTCAGTCATCCAAATTTTTAGGAAAATATAAGGCTAAAGAGAAATACAAGCATATATATATATATTGATGGAGAATGCTAACATTCAGCCAATGAAAGCTTTTGAGAATGACACATTTTGGTTTGATTTCATAATGAGATTTCCCGTCTGTCTTAAATTTCAGTGAAATGCAAATTTTGGTGTTGCTTTGATTGGCAGGCATATTCCAGAATAATGGCATTTCTTAAAAGTCCATAAAAATGAGATTGAATCCCCATTTTCGATTTCATTCTCTATTATTGTCTTTTGTTTTATTTGCATTTTGAGCATTATGTTCGAGTAGATCTATCTATATTGCTAATAATTCTAATATGCTAATTTTGTAGGGGGGGGGGGGGGGGGAGGGGGAGGGTTTATAAAAGACCAGAATTTGTTGTTAACCGGATAACTAATTAGGGGTAAAATTTTGCATCTCACAAAATTATCCTATCAAAAGGTATGAGAGGAAGAAGACCACAGGAAAGTAAATGAGGAGGGGAGAGGGGGAGAGGGGGAAAAGAGGATGGGATGAAATGGAAAGAGAAGAGGAAGGGTAAAGGAAGGTAAAATCAACACAACCAAGATGCCCCATAAAACATTCCGGAGGGCAATAATTTGTGAATGTAACACGAAAACAATTAATCTTCTGAAAATGACAATACATTTCGATATTCTTTTTTTTTTAAAAAAAAAAAGAAACTCTTTTTTAAGAAATTCCCAATCTACAGGAAGATGAGAAAACGCGTTTTCATATATTTTGTATGCTTGTCTGTCTATGTGTTTATTTTTGTCTCTGTGGCTATTTGTTGATTTGCTCGTTTCGTGAGAGGAAAGAATGGGTCTGGGGGCAGCTGTCTATCAATCGGGGTTAGCTCAGGAAGTAATTCTGGATGTTAGTTGTATAATCCGCTTACCAGTAACACATCAGAAATGTCCTGCGCTTAATTATCACCTGTAAATGACCCTAACAAAAATTCCCAATATCATTGCTTTCTCCGTCCAATCTTTTTCATTATAAGTATCATTTCTCAATTATATTCCACCACAAACATAGACAGGTATGTGAGACACACACACAGAGACATACATTCATCACATATGGTACTTATCATTACATACACATATATTGTCAGTGACATCATGCTTTAATTAACGATTGTTGATGTAAATAGTGCAGATGATTTATGCTGCTAAAGACTTTAAGTGATGAAATTATAATTGTTTATTCCTTAGCTGCTTATTTCAATATTTAAATAGTGCAACAGTTTCAAATCATATTTCAGACCAAATATGATTCGCATTTATAAATCGTAATTATCATTATTGTCACTTATCGTTTGATGATAATAGATTATTCATTTAGATCAGTATTAAAATTATGCTTATTATGATGCTTATTACTATTACTATTATTATTATCATTACTATTATTATCACTATTAATATTAATAATATCAATAATAATTACTGTTGCTAATTATTATTATTATTATTATTATTATTATTATTTTATTATAATTATTAATCATTCTTTTAGCATTTGTCTATTTTTAGTGAAGGAAAATCTGTCAACAAAAATTCTATATTTTTATCAATTTGTCCTTTTGCTGATAATTAATTTGCAACATGATGATAACCATCGCACTTAATCATCGCTGACATTACAATATACATGCCAATTCATTAGGTAAACAATGATATCAGCCATCATCTTTTTGGTCGGGAATAAATCAAAGGAAGTAAAATATTGCTTGCAAATATTTCTTAACAATTATTTCATTACAGTATCTTGATTTCAAGGTTAAAATGGTCGACATAAAGAAAATAAACAAAAATATATAAAATTGTGTTTGTCAAAAATATATTTTGGGCGTGTTATTAATAATAAGTTTGTAAAATGGTCTTTTTATAGAAATTTAAGTACACTGCTTATCAGTACAGTTAAAATAGTGAGGTAAGCATTAAGCAATTAAAAAGTGTTTATTCATTCGCTTCGGACTGTTTGGATGAACAGATAAGAGACTAATTGGCTAATTGTGGTTTATTATTTTCACATTAGTGATAAGATAAATTGGAAATGTCTCATACAATTGTATGTATTAAATTATTTGTTGAAATAATGTAACATCATAAAGAATGGTGTGATGATGAAATAAGACTAATGAAAAAGTGAAGGAAGATTTGACAAGGTGTATTGCATTATTCATAAACATAGAAGATAGAAAGTTTGCATCATAACGTCTTTTATCATAATTACAATATTAATAAATGAGGAAGGTAGAAGGATAGACAGAGAAAGATAGAAGTTAAAGACATAATGGAAGTTTGAAATTGATGAATTTAAGAAACAAAAAAAAAAAAAAAAAAAGAAAAAGCAGTTGCAAAAGATGCTAATTGCAAGAAAGCCATACTAATAAGGAGACATTAGTCTCCTTATTAGTATGGCTTATTTTTTGTTTTTTATTACCTCGTTTATTTTTTTGCTGATAAATAGCATGAAAGAGGCCATTTGTATAAAAATGATTTATTGCCTGCCTGCTCATTCATGATAGTGGTATTTAGTGGTGTTAAGTATAGTGTAATAATGATAATAATAATAATAATAATCGTGATGATGATGATAATGATAATAATAATAATGATGATGATGATGATGATGATGATGATGATGATGATGATGATGATGATGATGATGATGATGATGATGATGATGATGATGATGTTAATGGTAATGGTGACGATAATGCAGCTGGAGAGGGAGTTGAGATGGGGAAGGTTGGAAGAGGCGGATGGACAGACGCACTTCCGTGACCGGAGGAGGAAAAAGGATTTTGTCGAGACTTCTAACCTATCCCGCTATATGTCACCTCCCTTCAAAAGTTACACTGTATATTGTTTGTTGTTTGTCCTTTCTCAAATGATCTTTTCCTCCCCATGTAGGCGTTTTGAGAAGTGAAGTGAGTGATTTTGGAAGATGAGGAATAAAAAGTGAAGGAGGAGGAGAGTGATGAAGTGGACATTTAGATGTCCACTTCAGGTTCTTGGTTTATGACATACACAAAGAGATCCATTATGTGTCCAGGTAACTGCAGCAGTAATAGTATTAGTACTGTTATTAGCATTATTATTATTATAGTAGTAATATTTGATTGCCAATCATTGATGCGAATAGCCGAGGGAGACAGGAGGAAGAGGTAAGGGTACACCAGGTTGAGCGAGCGATCATTCGTAGTTGAGCAGTTGCGCATAAACTATCAATCGCACATACTCGTAATGGATCATTGAATCTACCGCAATGCATTTTGCATTATTTTCGTTACCCGATCATATATCCGCAATTCATTATCATTATTCGATCATTTATTTTCTGTCATATTTAACGAAAAGTATTGGGATATTTTCGACATTTGTATTCATCATATTGGATAAATTAATTATAACTCAATATTAAACTATATTAGTCAAAATTAAAATATAAATAAAATATATTTCAATGCTTATTAGGATTAAGTTTATCATCGATAACAGCAATTGATTGAGATATGTAAGTTAATAAGGGGATAAGAGGGGAAGGGCGAGGGACGGGGGAGGGGTGGGGAAGGGAGAGAGAGAAGGGACGAATGATTTCATTTGTAGGAAATTAGCAGGAAAAAATCGATTGAAAAAAAAAGTTGAGATTTTAAGAAATGGAAAATGAATGCTTTTTCTAAAAATCCATTTAATGTATATTTACATACATTGGAACGCGACAATATTTTAACTGAAGCAGACAAATTCTCCTATTGAATTTCTAAAATAAAATACCTACACAATGTTCTAGTTAATTTTAAAAGAAGAGAGAAAAAAATATTTGTACTTCTGTAAAATCGAATTGTTACAAGTTATCCTCGAATTTTAATCAAATTTAATTTATCAAGTGGGACAGTTGATGAATGGTGATAAAAAATAAGAACATGACAACTAATGCCAAATGATAATAGTTTTTTCTTAAATAATCAATGTTTAATAGTAACAGTATTAGATTGCATTTGAAGGTTTCTGTATTAAATCTGCAGTAAAGTGTTATTATCACAGAATTTCATGTAAAAACAATTTTATGAAATTACATGAAATTATCGTTCAAAAAGATTACCAAAATAACGTAGAAGTGTGAAGAGAAATAACAAATTTCACTTCTTTTTTTGTTTAAATGTAGCATTTCAATGTTCACTTTACTGTTTTTATTAACAGAGGACCTCAGTAGCTTTAATAAAAAATCATAAAAGGTATTGAACTATGAAATAACAATTAACATTTCTTTCTATTTGTCAGCGATAAAAAAAAACTTCTGTAAAGCCTAGGGTAACTTTTTTTTTTCTGAAATTTACCATTTATCATACGTTTCATCTATAAATGAAGAACTGCTGTTTTTATGAAAATTTTCGAACATTTTTAAACAATAAATTTTTTATTTCTTTTTCTTTTCCTTTTTTTTTTCTTTTTTTTTGGAAGGAAAACATTGAAAGGTTGGGAAAATTTTCTTTATTTTTCCTCTTCTTTTGAACTGTTTTAACTTCCGGACTAGCATCTGCTTCCTGCAATCAAATGCAGAAGCATCAGTCACGGTGGGTGATGGTACAACTGTCACCGTCATTTCTTTTTTACTCATCAAGGCTTGTCACTCAAGATTCCGTTATCTGCGAAGGAACTGTTCCTTCTTCCTTATGCTATTTTAAAACTGTTACTACTAAAAAGTTGCTTTGAAAACGAAAATAAAAAAAAGAAAATGCAAAAAAAGAGAGATTTGTTTTGTCTTCTCTCATAAAGGATATTCTTTTTTCATCCAAATTTGACAAATTTTTAACGATTAATATTACTACTCAATGCATATCAATCTTTCTTTTTAATTTGATATTTTCTTCGGCCTTATTAGGATCGATTTCGTTGATTAGCCTTATTATGAATATTTTAAATTTAATGCTTTCAAAAAAAAAAAATTTTTTTTATTCAGTAATGGATAAGGTATTAAACAAGGCAACTGTTGATTAAATAAAAGTGTGAAAGATTATACAAGTTAATAAGTTTTCATTTTAAATGCTAAATTCATTTGTTTAATAACTGCAATATATTTCGATGCGTTAACTTTCATTTGCAGTGCATTGAATTCATCAATATCTGTGACTTTCCGTCTTATTAAAGCTCGTTAGCATTAAATTTAAAAACAAATGAAGCCTTTGTTGTTAACGTCGTGGGACTGCTATGAATTTGCAATGAGTTAATTTCAGAATGAAAAGAGTATGAAGCAAATTAATCCTTAAGTTTTCCGTAATTTCAGAACAAAGTGGGGAATTCTAGCAGGGGTAAGATAAAATAGTACATAGACTAAATTTAAACAAAAATAGCTTATAAATGCTAACGGAAATCTTTTTAAATGCTAATTTATATTCGTCTTCTTTTCTTCTTTAAACTTTTCTTTCTTGATTTTTTTCTCTCTTCTGCACTCTCTTCTTTCAACTTTCTCCTCGCAAATAGCATCCCGAGAAATTTTCACTGAATAATCTAACACTTACTGAAAGTTGTAGTTTTAAGAAAAATTGGAAATTACGAATTAGTATTTTGTTAACTTCTGTTGTTCAGTCAGTTAATACAACAAACTGTGACTATCTCGTTTTTCTTCTCTTGCACTAACGAATGAATATCATTATCAAAATATAGTTGTAAATGACAAACGTTGACATTTCAGTCGAAAAATGACCTGTAACATCTGCTTTTTGAACAACAAACAAATAATAGTTAGCTTGAATTTAACGTTAAAAAAAAAGGAAAAAGAAAAAATGGGATAAATTTTGAGTGGAAGTTAAAAAGCTAAAAGTGTTTAAATTTTAAATTATCCTGCTAAGTTATTATATAAAACCAAATGTTATCTTTCCACACATCAGTAAAGTTTGTTAAAATTTATGAACGCATAAATATTAAACTGAATGAAATATCTAGACAATAATAGCATTTGACGATACATTTTCTTGGTTATTTAATGGATATTTAATAAATAATTTCTAATATTTTATAAACTTATAAAGTTTTCTTTTATGCATGTATCTATTAGATATAAACTGATCGGTTGCCATCCTATATAAATCATTAAATTAAACTTAATCATTCATGTTTTTTGGGAGTGAAATAATTTTCAATAAATAATTTAATTCAAACCTACATTTTGAATCTAATCATAAATGATATTATTGGATATCAGTAAACAAACGTTAACGAAATTCAAATTTCCAAAGCTTCAGAAACTATCAGCGTTATCTTCAAAATTTCAAGAAAAAAAAAACTTTATCGTCTTTCAAGACTTCAAGAAAATATAAAAGTTCTCGACCTTATTGTATAAAAAGTATTTTAAGATTTCGAATAATTATCACTGCTAAATGAAGTGAAAAATAAGTTTTTATTATTTCACATCTTAAATACAAAGATTATTAATTTCCTTATAATAACTTATAAAGATTCAAATTTTAAAACGATCAACTTTCTATGCTTATGTTCCAAAAAATTTTAAATAAGTACTATGGGTGAATGACATGACCTGGAAAAAAAATCTTTTTTTTTTTGATTTAAAGATTTCAAATTTTAAGGAAAAAGTCAGCAAAAGTCATCATGGAGATGCATTTAAAGTTTTTAGAAATTCATTACTAACAAAAAATATTTACTAAACAAAAAGAAAACCATTACACTTATGTTTAACGGATTTCGTTTAAAATTAATTAATTAAAAAAAAAAAAAACGATAAAAAATATGCTATCATTATTAGTAACCACTAATAATCGTAATTGATTATTTCTTAATCTCTTATTTTTTATATGGATTCATTAAATATTTCATCAAATTGATACTGGTGATCAAATCATTTCAATCACTGAATCCATTTATTAGCATTTATACAGTTTTACTGTTTTTATGGCAAAATATCAAATTTTACCATTTGATGTTTAAATTTGACCATTTAACTGAAATATGTTTTATAATTTGTTATATAATTATGAACTTATAAAGCATCCAATTATAAAAAAATTTTCAGTCACATTCCTAAAATACAATATGAGAAATTGACAGAGCTAAATTTCCGTTTGCTTTAGAGAGATGTAATAAAAAAAAGGTGAAATAATTAATTGTAATAAGTGGAAGAAACAAAATGACAAAGTTAAATGTATGATATTTCGAATGCAGCGTTTTAAATGTCTAAAGTCAAATCAAGTGAATATCTCCGATTTATCTCTTTGCACTGATAAAACTTCAATGGGTAATTTGTATACAATATTATTTTGCTTAAATAATAAACAAAATGTTTAAGCGATTAATATTGCAATAATGATTAAACGATCGTATCGGCCATACAGTTTCATTATCATTAAGAAACATATTGTACTAAATAAATGAAAAACCCTGATGATACGTAAGCAGGATTACGGAGATTTATAACTATCAGAAAATCGGTCCTTTCCTAAACTATTCAAAAATTATAGTTTAATCTTAGTTTTTTTCAAGTATGCTTTTGAAAAATTCTGTGAACTTCCGTAATACTTTAAATAAAAGATCATTTCTATGTAATAAAAAAAAAAAACAATTAAAAGTTCAGAAATCTCTGTCTTTACTCTCTAAGAGTAACTGTCAACTTCCAATTTATTAATTTCGATAATAAAGTTTACAATTAATTAAAGAAACAGTTAACATTCAATAGTTAAGCAGTCTACAAGCAGACTGCTTAATTATTGAATCGAATTATCAAACAATTCGACGATATGATTCTGAAACGTACGTTACAACGAAATGGACGAAAGTGATTGAGTCCAATGATCCTTTAATTAATTCAAATTAACCTCAGTACAGTTGCACTTATCTGATTATGTTGCTTCTTCTATTTAAGCACATAATTTTAAAAGGGATGGAAATTTAAATTCGAGGTTGTAGGCAAATTGAAGTTATATCGTACTGCTTAAGCCAAATTCATTTTAGCAGAATTTGGTGAAGAAAAATCAATTTAAATTCGCAAAATCAGCATAAAATCTTAGGTAGTTTCTTTTGCATCCATGAAAGTATGATTGTAGAGTGGTGAGGTACCTGTTAAATACCGGTGGATACCTGACGAAGCGATAATCCAAGAGCTGAAGTTTCAACATCTTTAAATAATGGATTCTGAAGAAATGAGTAAAATATTGCTGATTAACTTTTTCCACTTTAAAGAAGTTTAACTGCTGCTAAATTAGTTTCTTTTTCAAGTCAAATTTCTGATCAAATTGGTCCTCCTTCCACAGGATCAACTAAATGAGAGAACGAGTGCCGGAAATTATAATTCAGTAAAGTCACTTACATAACCGTAATAAACTGGAGAATTTCTTCAAATAATACATTCCGGACATATGTAGTGACTTCGGAAACTATAAAGTCCGTTTAGGAATAAAATTTGGGCATATTTTGATGGTTTTATCAGCAAATGCATTCCCATTTCAGAAACAGCGACGGAATGGATTACAAAATGCTTATGATAAGTTGAATAACGCCTGAAAAAAAAAATGAATGGTTCTGGAAATATCTCCATTTCACCATTACAATCTCGAATTTCTATATATATAAGCAGTAAAATAAATTTGATTATGATTAACAATCTGGCTGATTAGATCATTCCTGAATATTGTTAAAATTATATTTCTGAAATATATTCGCTTAAACATATTACTGTTTACTGAAAAGAATGATTAAAAGTAGTTCATTATAGGAAATCAGGTATAAAGAAGAGAAAAAGCATAGCATACACACTATTCTATCATATTTCCATTCAGTCTGTTCTTTTATCACCCGTGAAATTTTTGGATAATCCTTGCTAGGCTGCCTGTTATTTTCAAATGATCTAATCTTTGCAAAATCATTGCTAATAGTGTCAAGAGCATCTCTTTTATTATGAGATTTGGAAATTTTAAATCAAATTTTATATCAAAATTAAATTTTACTTTTCAGTACGACTACTACTATCATTAGTAACATCTAGTTTTCTCTACATATATATAAATTCATTAAGCAAAGAAACTTGCCGGGAGAGAAATTAAACAATTCGAAATGAGATTGTAGATGAGACAGTAGCATTTTACGAAGTGAAAAATTGCAGGAGAGGAAAACAGGAGACGGGGAATCCTTCTGATGACCCTTGTACAGATTGATTATGCCGCATTTAAGATATCACCACTATTAGTAAGATATCTGTATGGCATGCTTACCTTAATTACTTGCTGTAACAATAATGAAATATGTTCTTCAAAAATTTTTAAGTTCATTTTGACACCTGCATGGTTTTATAATCAGTAGAAATTTGATTAAGAATAGTATGCATATATCCAACCCTGTGGTTGAATCAGATTTGACTAAACATAGTTTACATTATACTGGCAAGCACAAACGCGTTTGAAATTTAACACTGACTATGAGCATTTTGATGGGAAATAAATTTCCGTTTTAAATTACGCTAGAGCTTCACAAAATTTGGACTTGTAGCGCCAGACTTGAACAGATCAAAGGTAAACGTATGTAAGTGATGTAATAAAAAATCAATACAGCTGTGTACTTTTTATGGACAAAACATATGCAAAATATCAAATATACAAACAAAATATAATTTTTTTTAAATCAGATAGTTATCAAAGCAAAGCAAAAAGAAAGTAGAATTCAAAAAAATATTTTAATGCTTTAATATTAAAGAGAAATTTACGAAAAAATACTTGTTTAAACATAAAGATAAATTGTATTATTAAGGTAATCAACAACTATTATCAACCAATTTTTTTAGTTAGATTTCAATGCTTTTCTTTGCCTGGAAATTTATTCCTTACCAACGAACAACTGATGAACATATGGAATAATTATTACAAACTTGCTAATTATGCAAAAAAATTAATTTAGAAAATATTTCCCTAGAGGAGCCTGAAGCTAATCATATTGGAATAAATAAGGACAATCGAATTTTAATTCAAATTAAACGCTGAAACCAAAATTGCGATTCCTCTAAAATTAATTCATTAATACCTAAAAATTCAATAGAATATAACAATATTGTTGAAAACAATTAGTTAATTTCAGTTAAACGACGCACAATAGTATCAAAATATTAATGCAGATCAGAAGAAGCAAACAGAGCCAGCATACAAATTCTGCTATAAAAAGAGAAACTGAACATTTAATTAAATGGCATCTGGGTAGGTAAACAAGCAAATAGTCAGGTAAATAAGTCATACATCCCTGCGACAAACTTACCTCCTCTTTACTTGCAATAATTTAAAACTCAAAAAGTAATCTGCGCTGTCTGAGAATTCAGAAGAGAAGAATGAAATGGAGGAAATTTTGCTAGGATATGATGATTTCAAAAATTCTACGTGGGATTACTTTTTTCGGATGGAAAGTATGAAATGAATATTAAAACAAGCATTTAAAAGAAATCATAAAATTTATATAAATATACCAATCCAAGATGCATCAGTTGAATTGAGCACAATCAAAAAGAAAAGCAAGCTTCAAGTAACCAAACAGAATATTATACGTTCGATGATTCAAGCGAATCCAGAATACTTTCCGTAATCTAAAAATATGGTATGATAACAGCAGACATAATCATTCCCAAAGCTGTAAATTTTTTATATATTTGAATAAGATAATCTATTATATTAGGTCCCCATACTTTCTAGCAAGTATTTCCGTTTCTTTATCAAATCACAGTTCAATCTAATTTGTACATAACTAAAGTGTTAACTTTTCTTCTTTCAGTTCCCTTATACTTTCATGTTTTCTTTGCTAAATTCCTCTAATTACTTTTCAAGATACATAATTATTCCATGAACAGGAATTTGGAGGAATAATTCCTGTAGAAACTTTTTTTTAATATTTTAAAATGGATTTTAAAAATGGACAGAAAAAAAAAATAGCAAACTTGTTTTTTATAGATGGATTTTGAATCAGAAGGTGGACAGACTGGTTCGTCTGGCTCAACATACACTTCATTTTTTCCTTTCTTACGTGACAAAAGGAAACCTTTCTTCAGGAGCTAAAATAAAAATTAGATTTACTTTTTTAAAACTTTTTATAAATGAGAAATTTTTCTTGCAATCAATTCAAATTTGAAAAATAATGTGAAAACATTTTTTGATGCAGAAAAAAGGGAATTCTCGTGAGATAGACTAATTCAAAGTTTCTTTTAGTAACATAGAACAGAAATTAACAAGAAGATTGGGTTTCGTTTACATCATATCTAAAAAGCATATCTAAAAAAGATAATAAATAACTCTGAAAAATTCTACTTGTCCTAATGAGAATAATCATTTAATTAAATATGTCATAAAAACCAATTCGTAGTTAAACTTATGATTTTGTAATGGTAACTTAATTTTTGGTATCGAAATTTTAATCGAGTGTTGTAACTTGCCTTAATTTTCAATAAGGGAGACATTTGGACGACAAGTGGTTGTGCAAGCACAGCTCTCTTATGACTAATTACCTCTTGACCTAATAACTGATTGAAATGAGTTGCAAGATGACGTCGAAGAAGCGTTTTGTGAGCAGGCATTTGCAATACTTCAGCTAATGTTTCTGCAGTGAAAGTTGGCTCATGCACCTATAGGAAAAGAGAAAAGTTGTATTTTCGAAAACAACAGTCAAATTTTATAAAATCTGGAAGCAAAACATCACCCTTAATATTCATTAAATTAACAAAAATGCTGTGAAAATACGAAACAAATTGCTTATACTATCTCAGGTAAAGGGCAAATGCCAACCATTAACATTAATTATCATTCAATTTTTATCACTGAATTTGCATAAAACATACCATCAGTGCACCATGAATTCCGGCACATAAAAGATTAGGTGTAAATTCAGCTAAATCAATTGCCTTTAGCCATTCACATGTACAATGATGTGACCATCGTTCTACTTCACCTGGACATGCTCCTTTGTGGATTAAATCCTAAAAAAGCATCCAAAATGAATTTCATACTACTTACTGAAGCTGAAAGACATATGCTATCTATTCGAATAATACAATAATGCAAGATGATTACTCACTGGATTAAACCTCTTTTCCAAACGATTTGGATAAAAATCAACCGATCGTAGGAATTGTACGCCACGAGCGATTGTCGCATGATGAAGAGCAGAAGTGATTTTCATCTGCAATAATTTCACGTGATAAGATACGATTCAGTTAAATTTTTCATCTTATTTTTTGAATTTAAAAATTTTTAAGCCTACTTCGATCAAGTCTTGCGCAGTTAATAGTGTTAACATTTGGCCGTCAATCATATTTTCAGCCATACTTTCACGATACTGTGGTAGTCCGATGTCGTCTAACCACAACAGAACCTTTAAATATAAAATGAAGTAGATTAAATTAATTTCAAGACAAACCGTTCCAACACTAATAATATGTCATCAACCAATAAAAGTGGAAATTCATAAATTTCACCAACTTGATGCAAATCCATACGATCCGCAGAATCTTTAATACCACGACTTATACTAGTCAATATGCAACGGAAACGCTTTCGATGTAACGGGTTCCTCATAAGTAATTCCTGAAAATCTTATCGTAATGCACGTTCAAGTATTTCGTTTGTTTACGCTTTACTAAACATATAAAATTCTCTCTTATACTAAATGATAGCAATGTCATGTAGATTCTAATAACTTTGTATTTTGAATTACTGATCAAAACCTTTTCGTATTCTTGATTTGTCATATTCAACAAATGTCGACCACTACGTATAAAACGCTCAACTTCGGGTACATAAACGCTGAAACCAATTTCCGCCATCCATTCACAAATCTGCTCTTTGCTCCAATCAACAAACTGTTGTAACGGTGGTCGAAGTGCTATAGCGCCGGATATTGGTCCGTAAATAGGTATCCGTGATGAATGTGCCGGTCTGAAAGGTACGATATATATTCGAATTTCCAGTGAACCGTTTAAACTTCTTAACAATTTTCCTAGCAAATTATGAAAAATTAAAAATTTGTCGTAATTCGTTACCAGTTACGTTACCAATTGCAGTTATCAGGATACCACACTACTACTCAATTTCCCTTCATAAGATCATATTATACCATTTTTTTTTTTTTGATAAATTCTTTTCTTAAGATTTCCTTTATGTCACTAATACACTACTAATACATTAACTTCCTGATCTACATCAAATCATATCAAAGCAAATGAACAATTCCAAAACTCTTTCGAGAGATAAATTTGAATGCATATTTTCCACATATCTTAACTTCCTCCTGCTATGCAATTCTTTTTCAATCAAAACTTATAAAAAGAAAAGAAACCTCAAGCCACCCGTATGTTGAAAATCAACAGATTTAATTTCTTGCGAAGCACTTCTTGTGAGTTTGCCAAATAAATTCTTTAATGAAGATCTGGAATTAGCGTGAAATATGATGCGCCTTACTGAAACAGTAATAATTGAATTCTGCTAGGGATTTTTAAATGGTTTTTGTTTTACATATCCTTGCCTTATCATTTCTCTCTGCTTCCCTCAATATTTCATATTTAAAGCAACATTGCATTTCTTCAAAGTATCAATTGAGATTAAAGGAACTATTCCAGAGGGATATCATGAAAACGTGGTATTTCTTGACTCCTCAACGGAATGAATGACACATGATAAATTAATCATGAACTTCTAAATATACCTTGTTTTTCCACGTTTAAATTTTCCAATTTCAATGGAAGATCTGGTTTGTACTCCTCGCATTATTTCATCATCACTTTCGGCTTTAAGAAAAGAAAATTTGAATTATGTGGAAATTTCAATCAATATAGATGTTTAAAACAAGAGCTGAAATATTGGAAATACATTTATTCTTTAAAAACCTGCTTTTTTTTTTTTTTTTTTTTTTTTGAGAAGAATCAATAAAATGCAGTACAGTTGAAAGGACTTATTCTTAAATTGGCAACAAAATTTACCTGATATACCTCCCGAAGATGTTGCAGAAAGCTTTTTACGTGGTAGTGTTAAAGTTGAAGCAGCCTGCAAATAACGAAAATACATATCAAGTCATATCAAACTATTGAAAATTTAACAAAATATGAAAGAAATGTAATTCTCAAACATCACTTATACACTATTTCCCCCTACCTTACGCGCGAACGACCTGGAAAAACTTGGATTCTGAAATGTATCGTGCTTATGTTGCATTTCATTTCCGATACGGCGCAATTCATCTAGTTCAGCAGCCAATTGTCGAGCAGCCGGAGATGATGGTGAATGATAGCTAAAACACATCAAAAATTTGATTTTCTGATTTCAGTAGGTAACTTCAACAATGTTCACATTTCAGGCATCTTAAATGATACCTGGGAGCAGTACGACTAATTGCTCTGGATGAAAGAGGTGGTAGAGTGATACTAGGATCGTAATTAGTTTGTAATCTTGGAGTACCCGAATTCGACCAACTATGTTGCGGTGATGCTGCTGATAATGATGAGGTATAGGATGATGATGACTAAAATAAAGCATAGTTCATTTTCTTAAACTCTGAAATTTTGCTGCGTCAAAAATTTTATGAATCAATTAGTAAAGTGATTTTTTTGCAAACTATTTTCTTTTGAAAGGTTAGAAGAAAGAAGTATTTATGGAGCATATGATTGCTGAAGCTCAGTAATTCATTTCAAATAGTTATAGTTCAAATTTTTTAAACTTTTCGCTTTCATCTTATAATTTAAAAAATAAACAATAATTTCTAAACCTGTACTGCTGAAGGTGCTCTTGAGGCGATAGCGCTTCGCTGCTGGGCATTACAAAGACTGGTTGGGAAAGATGAAGAATGAGCAATATGTTCGTTCGCGTCATCCTGAAAAAATCAAAAGATTTTGGTACGTCAGTGATAATTGTGCTACGTGGTAATATATAATATGATATGTCTGTGGAATGCCTGATGTAAGTATAGATAAAAATTGTTGAAATTCTTGCAAATTTAAAGATGAATTTTAAAAAAATGCATTTTTTTTTTTTGATAATGATAATTTACAAGCAGTAATCGTCTAAGCTGAGCATTGATATCGAACGGTTGAGGAGTTTCGAAATTATTTTGAATGTAACAACGTGGCAAAGAGATCGCAGGTACTGCACAAACATCACCATCACGTCCGTTACGACAATGCTCATCTAAGGCATTTCTCAACGAACTAATTTGGATATTCTATAAAAAAAAAAAAAAGAAAAAAGAAAGAAAAAAAGAAAAAAAAAAAACAGTGATCAATTTGAGGTGAAATTAAGTAGTCAAAAATAATTTAAACAAGTGAGAGAACATCATTTTTTTTTTCTTTTTTTCTATTAGTTCGAAATCTACATTATGTCAACTTCAATCATTCAAAACTTGTTTGAACTATACCATCAGATGCATGCAAATCAATTTCAACTTTCAGAAGATTATAAGTCAATTAAATAATTAAAACTATCTAACTTTTTGTTCATTATCCATAATAAGTCGTTGTACGGCCATTCGTAAATGTACCATTTCAGTTGCTAAAGAAAGTAGTATTAGAAAAATAAATAATCTATTTATATGAAATCTCAGGAAATTCACTCATTCAACTTTTTTTTTCACTGCAAATTGCTTTGCTAAAATAATTTTTCTCTATCGGAAATTAGATCCTCAATGGGAATTTACTGGAAGATTACGGTTTTATATATTAAAAGAATCAGGCAAATTCTGTGTTCTACTTACTGGGCCGATAAAATGAGCTAATTACGAGCATTTCTAACCTTGATCAGTTTCCGCACCGACATTACCACCAAGCACTTGCTGATATGGCAATTGGGAATGAATCTGAGTCTTGTAAATCTGTGGAGGGAGAGCATGTTGCATAATAAAACCTTGCATTGTTTGATTTAAATGTTCAATCTCAGCCTAAAATTCCATTCCCATTTTCAGTTTTTCCATTTTTGTAAACTATAATACATTACTGCTAAATTAAAAACAAAAATATAAATTATGGATAACAAGAGCAAAAACTCATCTGAAAATCCCATTTTTGCATTAAATAATAGCTTGTGCATAACTAATACTAATAACAATTTAGACAAGAGAGAAATAATCAATCATCCTTGATAATTTTAGACAAACGCCAAAAAAAAACCATATCACACTTCAAAAAAGTGCTATGACATGTAATGCTCAAAACGTTACCAAAGAAAAGCTGATCAAAAATTTCAACTTAAACAAACCTGAGAAAGTTGAAGTTTTCGCTCTGTTTCCATTTTCTCCTTTTCCAAGGTAGCATATTTGAGTTTTAAATTCGAGACTTCCGCTAAGAGATCCAATTTTCTCGACTCCAAATCACCGTTGCTATCAACACGCTATAATCATAAATACTCGGAATAATTCAGAGTTCAAGCTTTGAAATAGTTAATTTAGAGTTGAAAAAAAAAAAAACCTTGTTATGAAGGAATCAGCTAAATAAATGAAAGTGACTGCAAAATAAATGGTATATATAGACAAGAGTGACCTCTTGTAGCAATTCTTCGGTTGAATCCAAATTGTTCGCTTTAGTTGCCAAAAGATTTTCCAGGTCACGTATCTTTTCCTTCTGAGCACCGACTTGTTCTGTTAATATTGTTACCTAAAACTATCCATAGGATGGATAGCTTACTTGGAAGTCGTATTGAAAAGCAAAATGAACTTGGTGATATTAAAAAAGTTAATGATAAAATAATCTATAATAATTTTTTAGAATTGTTCAGAACATTTGTTGAGAAAAAAATCCCTTTTAAGCTATACATTTGTGGTAAAATTAAATCTGCAACCTAATATGTCATAAATCAGTCAATGTTTGAAATGATTTCAGAAGAGCAAAATTATCAATAGGACACTTAACTGATATTTATTGCTAGCAAGTAACAGAATCATTAAATTAATTGAAATTAGTATGAACCTCCACAGTGTTATAACAATTTTAGAACAGATTTAACAATCCCAAATATCACAGTCTTCTCAACAATGATGCAATTACCTGCAATGACAAACTATCACGAGCCATTGCCAGTCGATGCAATTTCTCTTGCAATTCTGGATATTCTGGACAAGATGCTGTTGACATAGATGGTGACGGGCTCTGCAAAAGGAATCAAATCTAGAACCTGGTGCATAACCAAAGCAAAAAATTTCACTTCAAATTGGAAATTTATAAAATTGAACTAATGTTCTAATCCAAAGGAACTGCTTATAAACATCACGGAAATGTAACAAATTCTTCATGATGACACACTAATCTATTTTTTTTTACTGCTTCATTCCCAGGCTCTAAATTCAGTGGCCACAAAAGATGTTACGCCTATTTCTTCTTCATTCGCTCCCAACACCATCTTATTACATATACATTCATTGCCGTGTTTGCTAAAACCTTATTTGTTTCAAAAACGACCAAAATTTAGATTTAAAAATTTGCTAAAAACTTCCGATACTGATCTCATTTCCATCAACTGCACCTAAATTAAAATTTAAATAAGCAGTTAATTCTAAGTGAAAACCTTAATTAGAATAATTAAATAATCCCTTTTTTTTGTTCCATGGTAACTCATTAGTGAGTACAGCAAACAAAATTTTCAAATTTAATCCAGCAAAGAAAAAGGCATAATAATTTCAGTGAAAGATAATACAACTAGGATGAGGTTTTTCCTCTTCTTTTTTTTTCAACAAAAATGCAATTTCAATAAGAAAGAAAAAAAAAGATGATTCGCTTCAGATTACGGCCGTAATGAGTTATGCCTCACATCCCTCAACTTCCATCCCTCTGTATATCGCATACCTCTTTCCGCTTTAAATGACATCCATTTGGAATAATTGTTCCCCAAGGATTTGCGGTTTCAAAACTGACATAACAAATAGTACTAGTTAAGGTGTTTCGGTCGAGAACAGTAATTGGTATTTCTTCAGAATAATAATAAAGAGACATAATTACGGTCATTTATGATTATTTTTCCAAGTATTATTTGATCAATGAAAAGCACACAACGTTGAATTAGTCACAGTAAGGCTTATGTTGCATTTTTCTTACAAAATGTTCTAGAGAATATTCATTAAAAAAAAAAAAAATGCCGAAATCACGATGAAACATCACCTAATTTAAAGTTTCAATAAAAACAGTCTGAGTTATTAGCCGCATCATGTGTACTTCCTATAGTTCATATAAAATTATTCAAGTTACACTCAAAGAAAAGTGGTGAAAAAGTTTTAGCAATTGCGCTATGCTCTCTTTTTTTTCCGTTTTTTTTTTCTCAGATAGTGAAAATATCGTACAAATTCAATAAATTAAAAAATTTCAGACAATAATTGCAAATATTTCTTGAAGTTGTATTAAGTTTCAGAGATAATTACATTTAAAATAAGTTCAGCATTTTATTCCAAAAATAGAAATTATAAAAGGAAAAAAAAAAGAAAAAAATACGGAAGCTACAATTCAGACTTATGAAAAAAAATTTGGCAAATGAAATAATGTTAAGCAGTGAAGAAATAGTTAACCAAATAGTTTTGCTTTCATACTCCCAGGATCATTTCCTAAAAGCAAGCGCAAAACCATCCGCGAGAAAATATCAATACTCATTAGCACCCAGGCTGCTTTCATCCTAGGAAGGAAGCTTAACGGTGGAACTTCGCCTTTAATTGAAATTCCAGAATTTTATAATAGATCGAATCAAAACAATCTAAAGAATGTATCTTTTAATTTAAGCTATAGAAAACATTTTTAACTTTGTTTTAAACATTTCTTATTTAATTCATAGGAAATAAATGTGAAGTTATTTCTCGAAATTATCCCTTAATAAATAAGATTAAATAGTAACTTTTTATATCACACTTTCCATAATGGACTAACAGCAATGATACTCGCAACATACTGAAGTGTAATAAACAAATGTGATTGAAGGCAAGTAATAAATTAGCAAATACTGCATATATCATTTTCAATTGATAGACGATTGTTGTTGATGATATAACAGATGGAAGATGGAAAATTGAACTTACTCTGGATGTCCAACTACCAGCACGTGGGGCACGATATAATTCCTGTAAATTGACACTGCCAGCATATAGACCGGTTGGAAGTCTCATGAGATAGCATTCAGTTGTTGAGCCGTATTTGGAGTCGCTCAAACTACGATGAATTCGGTGTTGTTGTTTGGTAGAACCACGAAATCCACGATAAGGTGGTGGTGGAGGGAGGAATGAGCAACTGGAACCACTGCTTAGCGTACTGGAGAAGCCCGAATCGCTATAGTGTGTCACGTATGGAAATAACGGACGTGATGTTGCCGTAGATGACGACGCTGTACTCCTTCAACACAAATGCAATGGCTTACAATATTAATGCCACTCACAATTCAGTAACCACAAAATCTTGCAACAAACACTTTTCAACACATTCACACTCACACTTATCTGTTCACGTATTCTTATATACTTTCACATACATAGATGCCAGATAATAGTGAAGTTGATATGTTTCCATGTAGCATCTTAAACCGTGTTGAATCAGGGTCATCTTAACAGTTGCTTTTGGTCGCTTTACTCTAGTGGAACTTTAGTTTAAATGTTTATCACTTGTTTTAGTAAGAATACCTTAGCAGATGTTTAACTATTGTGAAAGCAACTGATTGATTAACTGAGAAAGAGGCCTTTCAAGGGTCCAATCTTGGGCCCATCAATGAATGCAATAAACAAAAGACATTTTAGGGAATAAATAGAGAAGAATAGGGGGAGGCATAGTTGACAGAAAAATAGATCTGCACAACCAATATATTTATATGATATATATAACTAAATATATGTATCTATATACCACTCGGATGGATATGAACGTTTTAATTTATTCAGCAAATGAAACTTAATATAATAACTACTGATGTAATATTATCTTAATACAGCCGATTATATGGAAAGTGGGAGAGAACAAGAATAGCAAGAAAAATAACTATTGCTAATTAACACAAGATTCAGCCAAGACTAAAATAACAGTTAGGAATATATTGGTACTGGTAGTCCAAATTCACAGCACATTCACCAAAGCTCATTGATGTCAGCACGTTAAAAGGAAGCCCAGCTGATATCTTTGTCCTTCTTATCCTCTTCTCTTCTCTCCAAAACAAAGCAAAAAAAAAAAAAGTTTAACTTCATTAAAATGATTTGGATATGTGTGCATGTAATGTTAAACAATTATAGCAATATATAAAACCAGGAAACTCCGCTAAATGCAAAGAAAATGGATGAAGGAAACATCAGCAATCAGAAGGAAATACTCATATCGATAAGCTCATTTGCTAGAATGCAAATGAATGTCAAAAGCATGCTGAAGCACAAATTAGAAAAAAAATGCTTCCACTTTTTGGGGTGCCGTTTTTAATCTTTCTTTTCTTCTTTTTTTTGAAGCCAAGCTAATACCACTTTAAGGTCCATTCCTTCACTATTATCAGCTCCTTAGCATTGGTTGCTCATTCGTTTTGTTTCATAGACATTTTTTGATTTAGTTATAAATTACGCCTACCGTTTGATTGCATATTGTTTTTCATTCCAACGCTTTTTAGCATTCTTGTCGTTCTTTGAAATGTTGTTTATATATATTATGCATGAGTTTTTCATATATATATATATATACTAACATTTAAACGTAAAAAAAATTTATTATTTTCTTAGATTTGCTTCTTGAAAGCTCCAACAACATTATTATCAGAAGTGAGAACCTCTTAAAAGAACCATTACACAAGCTCTTGAATTAATACCAACATCACATAACATCATATTTATCAATTTTCACATAATCATATATTTATCAATTTTACGCTATGGAATCAGATTTTATTGGCCTTCTATTCCCGTTTTTCAAAAAATTTCATGAAATATTTTATGTGAAATTTGTTTTGTCTTTTGATAGAAAAAAAACTGTATCATTACTTTACAGTTTGTTTGTTAATGTTTCCATTTCAGAAATTTGGAATAAACTGTCTTTTTTACAAACTATTGTAACCATAATTGGTTTAGTTTTTAGGTGATTTTTTTTTGTATGAAATCATTTCAAAATTCAAAAATTTAAAAATTCACAAATAATTAGTTTGTGAATTTTTAAAAGTTTCAACTAACTCAAAAATGTGACTGAATGAACAATAAATTTAACACACTTTTGTTATTAACAACAAAATAAATTAAATGATTCGAGTTATATCTGAAGTAAAATTTCGAACCCATCCTTTCTAAATTGAAAATATATCAAACAAAATGAGATAGTCATACATAGGTCATATTCTATTTATACACTAATTTATGCAAAGCATAAATCTGCAACCGGTAATGCTCATTACATTTTCATATCAATCATCAAGACGAAGTACACACACACACCGTCATAAGTTTATCTCCTTATCACTTCTCACACAAGCCAATTTGAAAAACACCTCAACATCCCACTGCCAATATGGAAATCTAAAAATGGGAAAGGAAGTTCTATTGTAAAAACCTTATTGATGATCGATGATCTTTGAAAACAGCGCTTCCTGTACTACTTCGTAATGAAGCCAGTGATCGGATGCCAAAACCATCTTCTACATATCGATGACTTCCAATTTCGGCCATACTATTCCAGGAAATATCCAAAGCGTCAGTTGTTTTAGAAACAAACTACTAGAAAGTACGTTATCACAGATCGTCAGGATGAATGAACTGATATGAAAATAAATTATAGCTAGTACAGGTGATAATAACATGTCTAAACTTCTGGTGCAGCAGCATAAATATTGAACTTGCTAGGTTTGCAGGATATATTTGAAATGATTACAGCATCCAGGATGAACTACAAAATAATAATATACTGATCGGAATGTTTATTCTAGGCAGGATTAACCGTTCAAATGATCCGTTATAAACTTAAATCGGTTCAAAGTAGAAGCTTAAGCTGCTTCTGCTGCTACTGTGGCTGCCACTGCAACCACTTTAATTGCCAACGGTAGAAAAGTGTAGGAGAAACCATTACACATATGCTTCAAGATTTTGGAACAAATACACAACTGTTATCAGTGCTTCCTCCTCTTTATACCTTGCAAATGTATGGAGAATTTACTCTTATTCTCTTGCCTAAAATTTTGAATAGTGAACACCAAACAGATTATTATCATAGCAAGAAATGCACCGAAGAATTTTGCTGAAATTGATGCTTTATCCTATTATCATCATCATCAATCCCAATGCCATTGGTAAGCTCTAAATTAACTTTCAAAATGAAAAAAAAAAAAAAAAGATGGAAGATGAAAAAGGAGATGATAATTTCCTGATTGAATAATATACTTCGTAATGTATGGAAATCAAAGATTAACTGATGCTAAATTTGATAATTAGAAAGTCTTAAATGTTTTTTGATAACTTAGTTGATTAGTTACGATGATGAATTTGTTCATTACAATGATAAAAAAACATAATAGACAGCTAATGATATAAAATATTTATCAGTGCAACACTTCGAATTGTTGCAGTAATATTATTACTCTGTCACTCGATGTTATTAATGGTTATCAGATAATTTCAATTTTTTTTTGGAAAACAAAAAGTATTTCAAAATTGGAAATGTAAGGTTTCAAGCTAATTAATTTCCACTAAGGTATTACATTAATTGCTAATAGCACCTGATAATATTAGATGTTAACATCACCCTAACAAAACCGATAATAAGATAACCTTCCAACAAACTTATAAAGTTAAATAATTCATGTTAATATCATTAATAACAATAAATTATTCTTTCTCAAACAGAAGGGAATTAAATGAGAAGGTATGCTAAAATATTATTGTATTTTATAGTTTTTAACTTTAAATTATTTAATGTACTTTTTTGCTAAATTTTTTGCTAAACAATTAGTAGTTGGAATTTTAGATCTGAATTTGAAATGCTAAGTTGGCGTTACATTCTTTTCATCCGCAAATAATTAACATTGATTCAGGATGAGAAATATGATGTAAGCAAGAAAGATTTGCTAATAAGACATACATACATGCATACAAACACATATATATATATATATATATATATATACATTCCACAACAGCAACTGTTCCACAAATGAACATTCCTTAACTTTACAATTTAAGCTTTCGAGAAATTTTTTAAATAGCATTCCTCACCGACAATCTACCATTCATATGATAAATGCTACATATCCAAAAGTTTTATAATAATTGTATTAGTAAATGGTAATACAATAATGGACAAAATGATGAATTATTGCTAGTATGAGATGGAAATATGTTTTAATCCAACACTTTTTTCAATTTCAATTTTAAATCTTTTATTTATATGGAAATGATACAGCATATAGATTTAATCAATGCAAATCATAGATTTTAAAATGGAAATTACTACCCATACCTGAGATATTGAATTTAATAATTTAGTTTTTGATACGCAAAGATAATGATAATTAAATTATTATCTATAATGCACAATGACATTATCCTCTAAAATTTACATTAACTAATGATTGATGGCATACATATACAGAATGAAATTTGGACGAATTATCGAGGAATAAAATCCGAAAATAGAAAACCCGATAATAGTATCACTTTTTGCTCTTTTATTTGTTGCAAAATGCTGATGGTACCATTTCCCCATAGAATATTGCTTTCCTTCCAATATTCCATTTTTTTTCCTACTCATATAAAATTTGAGGTCATGAAAAAAATAAAAAGATTCCGTAAAATTGTCAATTTTTACAAACTGATATTCTCGTTACCCACCGTAATTAATAATTATATTTCTCGTTCACATGAGAAAGAAAAGATGGTAGTGGTTATTATCAATTATTATTTTGAATGTTTTTTATTCTTTCGTACAGTATCGAATAATTCTATATTTAATTATACATTCTTGAATGAGGAAAGAGTCTACCTAATAAACATAATATATACCTATAGAGCACAAGGTAGTTATTTGTTTTCAATAAACTATGATTGAAATCAAGATTCGAAATTTAAATTGAAGCTTATCTTACAATCATTAATGAGCGAGCATATCGCACCAAAATCAGGGCCAGCTATTCAGTTCACACACTGTCTTCCATGATTTCCCAAAAAAAGACTGATAGACCGATAAAGATGATATAAATCATTTGGCTATCAATGATTCAATTTTACAACAATACGTTATGGTATTTTCGAATTAATGGCTAGCAGTTGCAATTCTCATCATCGCCATCGTAACAAAAGGCATAACTTACATTTTATTATAAGCACCATTCTTTTTTTCTTTCTTTTTTTGAGTTAAAATAGATTTAAGCATATTTGATTACTAACACATTAAACACATATTTACTACTTCTGATTTTTAAGCATGAAAATGATGAAATTTCAAAACCTATATGTTTAAATTAAGCATAATGAAATAATTCACCAACACTAGAAATATCAGAGTGAAAAATAAGAAGTAAAAAAATAAGAGCAACGAAGATTAAGAGAAGTGAAAAAGACACTAAACTCTTTTTTTTTTTATTATTATTTTTTTCTCCTTTTTTTATTCAATGTAAAATTATCGAGGCAACATTAAATATGTCATTTAAACAATTTGTTAATCATTTTTTTTAAAACAGTCATATTAGGGATTCATTGCAATTTCCAGAATTGTAAAAATTCAAATAAAAACATACCATTTTGCTAATTTCCTCCGTAGCACATAACCAATTCATAATTTTCAATCGAGTTTCTAGATCAGGTCTACTTGATATCTCGTTTCGATCAATTGCCTTGAAAAATTTTTATATGCAAAATGAGTTGAAACAGATATACCGTACATGCATTATAAATATGTAATCGAAAACTACTAAATATTTATACATTACTCTATTATTAACAAAGCACATATATAATCTGTTTTGTTGCAATTTTTTGTTTTTTAAGTTGTTTCAAAGAGAATATTTCTACTGACCGGAAATTTCTCTTAAACAGAAAATTCTTTTCATAAAACACGAACAGAACAAATGAAACAGCATTTAATATATTTTAATCCTATCAGAAATTGGCTGCATTTCAGTTTTATGACCTAGCAGTGACTGTATTAATAAAATAAAACTTTTGTTTCTCCTTTATGTGCTTTTCATCCAATAACCATTACACAGCAATTGTCACTGAATCGATGTTAATATCAATGATATTTTCTTTCATTTATCTGTTACCCGTTGATTAGTTCATTAAATCTTATTCATATAAAATTTTCCAGAGGAAAATTTTCAGAAATGTAAGTATTATTGCATCCCTCAAAATCATTGTGTTTTAACCCAGTCCGAACAGCAAATTGTAAAGAAAGACAGTATCAAAAGTGGGAAAAAGCAAACTGTTTAATTGACATTACTTGATATCGGAGTAATGTTAATTTAAATGTGTGACATTCAAAAACTGACACTTCGGATAAATGCCTGTGCTCCAATGATGATACAATAAAATTCACGAAAATCAATTTCAGTAATTGTGATGAATCATCTCAACTATTTTTCAGCTAATTATATTTCTTTCTTTTTTTACCCACCTATTTGTTGTTTGTATATTAAGAATGTGTTGTGCATCAGATATAAGCAGTATGTATTTTTATGTTCATCTTATGCTACTATATTGACTGAAGTACAAATAGCAGCTGATTTAAACACTTAAATATAAAATGATTTGTTGCATATGTGTAATAATGTAGAAGTGAGTAATAGAATAATATCCGATTACGCGTATATATTGACAAATTCATCTTTGATTAATTCAGCTAGCATAAAATCATAAATAAGGGTTCAAATAAAGATATAAAAATTGTAGTGTCCGCTAGTAAGGAACAGTAGTAGACTACAAATGACTAATGCGGTTTAATGACCAGTCAACTAAACTTGCAAATTCAACATCAAAGTGTAAAACCCTCATGACATTTATTTCTCTCTCCATGAAGAGTATAAATTTCTAATGAATTGTAAACAACGGTTCATCTTTTGAAGGACTCTCTCACTATTAAGATATATTAGTACAAAAATTCCTCTAACTACGAAGAAACATTTTTATTTCTACTTTGAAAAATTGTACTTGAAATGGGATTCAATAATGCTAGATGAAATAATGTACACTGCATTAATTATTATTAAAATAATCAGATCATCCGTCACAAATGTTCTGCCAATAATGACACTAGCTACATACTGAACACAGACATTCAAGATAAACTCATCCTGCTAAACCACTCTGTTCCGTCCGGCAGATGGTTGAGTATTAGTTGTTCAGGACGTATGATCCTCGGCGATAAAAATATGGCGATGTATTTTCAACCTATTTGAATTCGCTCAAACTGATGTCTCATGATGCTTTGTAATTACCACGGTGATCCATTCAATCCAAGACAAAGTAACCATGTTTCAATTAAAAATGAGTAATGCACCTATGATAAGAATTACCAGGATTACCAAGTGTCCTTTCTTCCCTTCAGTGCATACAGTTATTTGTCATCATCAAAACAGATTTGCGTAAGCATTATACAAATCAGCTATAATCCTTGACCACTAAGAAAAAACAAATAACCACTAGGTCTATATAATTCAAAACGAATAATCATAGATAAAACAGATCCGCCTAACCCAGCTCAATAACCTAATACAATATAATAAGTATCCAATAGTTTTATGATTAACAATATTAATAATTCTCTGCTTCAACACATAAACAAAAGTCATGCCACAAAAAATATTCATATTAAATAACAAAAACAAACCAAATATATATATATATATAAACTATATAAATTGTATTCATTTCAAACATTTGTTTTGAAATTGTAAAACAACTTAACCTTTTGAAGATTGGAGTTAAGCAGTTCTGATTGTTTATAACAATGAAATAAAAAAAAAAAAAACACAACCAAATCATTTTTCAACTTCTGTATCCGAATAAATATACATACAAACTCAGTTTTACCTGCAGAAGGGTATCAAAAATACTGATGTTAGTTGAGGTAGTAGATGAGGTAGGAGCATCTGAAGTAGGCATGCCATCACTGCTACTTGTACCTGAATCTCGATGATCATCGTTTTCATAATCCATCCAATTATTCACCGACGAATTCCAATTTAATGCCTGCAGAAATTAAAAGAAATTTATTGTATTACATTGATCGCAAATAAACTATAAATTATTTTTTAACATGTTCAAAATTTCTTGCATATTTATAGATTAATAAAATAAAGAATAAATTTGCATGCATATTTATATATGTAAGGAAAAAAAATTAACTTCCAGTGATCTCTTTCTAATTTTGAGTAAAGACATCATAAAAACTAAAATCTCTCTGTCTTTACAAAAGTATCATTGTCATAAAATTCTGAAGACAAAAAGGGAATATTTTAGTAGAGTCAAACTATTTCTTCTACATGCAAATGAAAAAGTTGTTCTGCAATGGCCGCTCTTCAAAATCTGAGAACAACAATTTCAATGAATTGTTATACGGAGGCTCTGACGCCAATTTGCAGAACGTCAATGAACATTTTGTGAACAGAAATGAAAAAAATTTGTACAAAAAAGAGGGAAAAAAGAAAGATAACTGTAATGTACCACAAACCTGCACATCACCTACTGCAACATTAGCTTTTTCTGGGGCGCTATTGTCATTATTATTCATTTGTCGTTTCGTTTCAAAAATCGTTTCAGCAATCTCGATGCCACCTTTCTGTTCAGCACCTGAAAATTTCTTTCATATCCAATAATGTGCATTTTCAACTGGAATATAAGAGTGAACTATTAGAACCACTTTACAATTTGATTTGTAAGCAAAGAATTACAAGGACAGAATTACAAGTCATAGATACGATTATGGAATGAGATTAAATTATGATAGTTTAAAGTACATAAAAATTCAATTAAAGAAGTGTTTTTACTTTCTTTTATGAAAGTCAATAAATGATGCGAAATAATGAAGGGAATAATTAATGCAAATAATCATAGTCTATAAAAGCTAATTATATATATGCAAGGCTTGTTAAAGCTAATTGATATTCTTTAAGAAAGAGATTAACCTGAGACCAACTAATAAAACCATGAAGTAAAGCTTTATATCGATCAAAACTTATCTTATGAAAATCTACCTCAAGAACCGAAGCTAACTTGATATGAATTGAAAAAAAGGTATGGAATGCTTATATGTCTGTCCTTGACCACTGACCTGGTCAGAAACTTAAGGATAAGATTTTATGACTTGGCACAACTCCTTTATCTAATTCTATCCTAGCTCTCCCGGCATTCCTCCCACATCTCCTAATTTCATCCAGTCATGGCCCATTGCCATCATGATTCGAGACTCAAAATTAGGAATGGATCATCAAATGCGTTGCTTCATAAATATATCATTTTTCAACGCTTAAAAGTACTTGTTTAAATTTAATTACGGTTTATTTTATTTTATAGTAGAGAGAGCTAATCGTCTACATCATCCTGTAGTGTTTATAAAAGTTGAAAAAAATGAAAATTGCTTTTGAACATTCCAGAAAAAAAATTCAGAGAAAAAAACTTGATATTTTTGATGAAAACAGCGTAACAAGAGAAGGAATATAAAATGGTAAGGTTATTTTCCTCATTTTTGAATTCAAATATGATATTTTAGCCAACAGATATGCAGCTTTCTGAATCACTAATTAGTCGTTTGATAAGGTTGGAAAAAAGTGAGAATTATTACAGACAGAACTTAAAGATAACAGTTATATCACTGGTTTTTATTACAAACTGTAAATCTTTCAAAGCAAACGGAAAAGGATTTTTCGAACGGCTTATTTTTAAATTTAGTTACAAGCAATGATGTTTTATGAGATTTATTGAGCCAAGTTCATACAACACCTTTGCATGTTTATTTCTTTATAACTATAATTTGATTGACTAAGTTAAATCCAACATTTGAGTTTTCAGAAAAAAATACAATGGAACATTAAACATTGATTTTTGACATCTCAAATGAAATAATAAAATTTAATCAAAATTACTTGGATGATGTTGAAACGAATTTCTAAGTATCCAAGCTGTCATACTTTCTCTTAAATTTATCAATATGAACTAATAATGCCATTATAACTTTTTCTCTTAGAACATCTGTCTCCTGTTATACTTTAGTAGTGCCAACTGTTTCTGGCACTAACGTTGTGATGAAATATTTGATCAACAAAAGAAAATTTATTGAGATAATGATGATGCAATATGGCATAGTTTTCACAATCAGTTAAAATTTGGACATTCGGGCAATAACTTTAAGAGAGCGAACAATTAGTCGGGAAAAACTCAGTATTTTTTTTTGCGAATGATGCTAAGCTTTTTTCTGAATAAGGAAAAAAAAGTAGAAAAGATGAATAAAAATTAATTTTAGAACAGTGAGTTGGAAATGATGAATTAATGGAATATTCGGAGAGATTATAATAAATTATAAAAGAAAAAAAAAGAAGGCAAACATTAACTTAAACTAGCAACAAATGAAACATCATATAAATTTAAACTGTATATTATCAGTAAGTTTAATTTATCATTCACTATGAGGCAGTCAACTCGAGGAAAGAGAGAGAGAGAGAAAGAGAATTGAAGCCATCTGGTGAAAACAATGAGGGAAAATGTTCGAAACCTAAATCCTTATTTGAACCTGAAACTTTGTTCAACGATTAGCTATAATACCATTAAGGCAAAATGTCAGTGATACCATCTTATCCCACTTCAACCATTAATCTAACTTGTTTAGTGCAGTTGCAAAAATTTTTTAAGAATGAAAAAAGTTCAAAATGTTTATGAAATGTGATCCGAGAACGGTAGCAATTGTATGTTTGAAAAGACCGAATTGTTAAAAGGTAACGTCGATACTAGTGAATGGAATCACACACAGATACACCTAACTCGCACAGACACACACGCACAACAACGAAATAATGGACCGACCAATTGTGGAGAGGAAAGAATCGATAAGTTGTTAAATGCCTTCGAAAGAAAAGATGAAAAAGAAAAAAAAAACGTTGGAAGTTGAATGAACTTTTTATCCTTTAATGCGTGAATCACTGATATCAACGTAACCGTATCTCTTTCGATGTGAATGAAGCAATTATTCACTTCTTGAGATTTCTCTCATTTTTTTAATACCGCAAACACAATTACCTCTGAAGATGTTTGATCTTATACCAAAATATCCCACTTGATGATACTTGAAATATTCTGGAAAATGTTAAAATCGATCTGATAAATTATGCATTTTAAAAATCCCTCGATTCTTTTCTCAGAAAAGAATTGAATGTTGCTTGCATACAAATTTGATGAATATGTCTAAAAGTAACGAGGCACACAATTGAAATTAAACAAGCATCAAATTAAAAGAAAAAATTTGAAACGAAACAAATGGCAAAAAGTTTTAATTGAACAATCAGCTTATAATCTTTTTAATACGACACGGCGTAGAATTGTGTGATATCAATTCAGATTAACATTTATTCAGTTCTTCTGATGTGATCTATAAGATAAGATAATAAACCTATTATTCAGATATCAATAGTGACAAATGAAAATGAAATATGAGTTCCAATGAAAGATGCGGACTGGCACATATGGTTAAGTAAAATGAATTAAGTGATATTAATTAACAAATTACACAAATTAGAATAATTAAAATTATACATTGGTTCGAGAAGAGAGATAAAAGAAGGTGGAAGAAAATATAGCAGTATGTTGTATAGTTGCTGAAGTACATCAATCAACAACTCTCTCTCTGGTATTTCAAAAAAAGAAAAGAAAAGGTTTACAAAACGCTAAAAAGATGATAAAGATCTATTATTCAAGTAGCAATAGTGACAAATGAAAATGGAATATTAGCATTTTTTGGAGAGGAAAAAATGTTCTCATTCTTCCTTTTTTCTTAGAAAAACTATTAAGAAGAAATTGAATTATTTAAAACGGAAGAAAAAAAAGGAAATAAACATTGATAAAAAAAGAACATTCATAAAAGCAAATGATCTGTTCCGATGATGACACAAGTACATATCGCCAACGTGTATAATCGATTTCATCAAAAATTCTGGCATACAAAAATTTCAATTCGTCTATCAATCATGGCTTTAGCCAATTATAACTGATAATCTAATTTCCTCATGTATGTTGCGTACAATGCTCGAGACTTTCACATATCTCAATACTACTTATTTTTTACGATATGTACAGGATGCGTGATTGTGGTAATGAAAAATTATGGCTGAAGTATCAAATTTTAAAATTTATTTTTGAAAGAAAAAAAGCTTACTAGCTCGTTGAGCAAATCATTTCATTACCTTCATTTTTTGCTTAGAAGAATTAAAGACAAATTGGATTTATGACAAGTATATTTACATCGGTATGTCACAAATGAATGCTGCATTATGAATGAATAGAAAATTTTTATTAGAATTAGATTTTATAGTTTGAAAAATCTAATTAAAATTACAAATAATGAAATTTATTTACCATCAACGATAAAATTGAGCTCTTCAAGCGCTAAATTGAGTATTCGATTAGCTTCTTCCAAGCCACCTTTATTCATTATCACTCGTTTGTTCGAAAGAAAAAAAGAATTTCACGCTGTAAAATGAACCAACAATTAATTTTTATTACACACACACAAAAAAAAAAAAAAAAAAAAAAAAAAAACATCAGAAAGTTTCTATTGAATGCATTTAATTAAACTGTTTTCTTTTTAATACTGTAGTCAGTGAATTTTCGTGTTAGCTTTCTGTACCAAACTGTTTGATCAAAGTGTTTCAAGATGCATTTTAAAAGCAAAATTTAAAGAACATCGGTAGGAACAAGTGATAACGAACATATTGAAAAGAAGCAAAACACAATTTTAGAAAATAGCAAAACAAAACAAAAAAATCCATGATTCAGAAATAAGAAAAAAACTTTTAAATCAATCAATAAATAAAAAAAACTTTAAAGTTTTACAATCACTTTATTTTTTCTTCTCTTGTTTTTTGAAAACAAACAAAAAATGTCATCGCCCCATAATCAAAATGTATATTATTTGTGTAAGACATTTCAAAAAAAAAAAATTGAACATACATCATGCTAATAACGGCATTACTGAATAAATATTATACTAAATAACTAAGATATTTCAAATTTCTTTATAAGTAACATCTGGAAAGCATATGCAATTACTTTTCTCTCTCTCTTAAATGAATGAAATATAAGTAATCGGTATAAATCATGACAGCTACACACCGATTATTAATGATCGGAAGATCCCAATGCTTAAAGAAAAATTCAAATTCTAATACTGTGGAAGAATTAACGGCAATGAATTTTTGTTTGTTGGGAATGTGGCATACCGATCATAAGTGATTTTTCACTTCTGCATAAATTTTTATATATATATATATATATTTTTTTTTTGCAAATTGATTTGAAATTAACAATGATGCATATATATATATATATATATATATATATATATATATATATATAATGCATATTTCTACGTAACACTTATAATGCATAATAAAATATTCAAAAAAAAAAAAGATTCCATGATTGAAAAGAAGAGAGGAGAGAGAAAAAAAAAAGAAAAATAATGAAATTTAGCAACTAATGAGACTTGAAAGATGGTGATATTTCATCTGGTTATGATATGTCATATTTTGATAAAAATGAATAAATCAGTGTTTAATGGTGATTTTTTTTTTTTTTTTTGCAAATTGATCTGAAATTAACAATGATGCATATATAGTATGTACGGTAGCATTTTGTGAATGTTTTGTTAAACTGTCATTTTGTTAGGTCCTTTATTAATTCGAATTATATAATTTTTGTTGGTTAATATGTTGTCAATATTACTATAATTTGCTTTTAAAATTGTCAAAATAATATCCACGATTAACGTCTTTAATGAATGCTTTTCCCAATGTCCAAAATAACCTTGATTTATTAAAAAAAAAAAAAAAAAAAAAAAAAAAAAAAACCATATTTAAAAAAAAAATGAAGCTCTAACTTATTCTCTAACCAATATTTGGTTCTACTTCAACAATAGCCAAACTGATATGCCTTTTCCTTATTACATAATGTTTTGGCCAAGTTGGTCACTTTATGTGGAACATGAAAAACGAAAAATGAATGATCGATGACAATGACAAATATGGAATTTTCCAAAAGTATGGAGAACGAATGAAGAATGTTCCCAGCATATGTGATCGTCCTCCTCTTCTTGATAGGGCACTTTTTTTTATTATCTTTTTTTGTTGAAAGTCAAATAATTTCGCTGAATGAATGTGCGGACTATTATCGCTAAAATATGTTTTGCTTTTTTTTGTTTTTCAAAAAAGAAAGAGATGTGAATTTCTGATAAATGGAAAAAGAAGTTAGTAAATGGTGTTATGCTTTTCATAAACGGTAAAATTTTTTTGAAAACTTTTTCTCAAAATAAAATCACAAAAAAACAACTAACTAGATGAGACCAACAGAAATATGTGAAAGTAAAAGTAATAGTAACAATCCGTTGCACTAGCCAAACGAAATGCGGCTAAATGAATGTTGACAGGATAGACGGGGTGAGGGGAGAGATAGGTAGGTTAAGAGGGAAAGAAGAGGGAAGGGCAGCAGGTAAATGAGAAAGAAGACAAGGAGGAGGAGGCAAGGACATTCATTGTAATATGTGTATACGGTTGAAGACAGCTCAACAATAATGACAAGTGGTAATGTGACATCCATCGGTAAGGAAAACGTGACAGAAGGACAGAGGACAGCTCGCGTCACCAAAAAGCAAAAGGAGGATGGGTATGAGCGTCTCGATATTTTGTCGCTTATATTGTAGCGGTAATTACAACCCAACTTCCTCTGTATCTCTTATTCCACTAGAGTTCGGTTAAATTTTGACCTCAACTGGCTAGTTACATGCTAAATCCCATATAGATGGATATAACGTCTGCCGTTACCTGAGCAATAACAATTAGAATAAATTTTAAATTTTAATGAGACTTTCAAGAAATTATTTAAAAAAAAAAGGGACTGGATAAGTAACGTATGCTTGTTTACATACGTCATCATCCAAAAGTTATTTGCAGCTATTTTGAGTGATGACGTATGGAATTCAAATAATGGAAAGCACGACAGCTAGTTGTAATTAATGAAAACAACGAAAAAACTGATTTTAATTTGGCAGTTAAGCCGTTCAAATTTCTTCTTTTTGTTTTATTATTGAAGTTAGAAAAAAAAAAAAAAAAAACATTATAGTGATAAAGATAGGTTAGGTGATACAAATTAGTATCGAACATTTCAAGATTTTTTTCTTGTTTATCAGCTTTATTTATGAAACTCACCTACTCCATTTTGAATTCAATCGATCTAAAATTTTGTGTGAGTTTCTTATGCTCTTGCAGGTAATAAATGTTGAAATAGTTGGGTATATTAGTTGGAACTCATTAATTAAAATCAAATTTAAATAACTGACAAGTTTAGTGCGAACTAAAAAAAGTGATAAAATCGTTGAATCATTAAATAGAAAGTTGCAAAGAATGACCCACCAAAAATTAAATCTTTTGTTTACAATGTTTCATTCCGAATAGAGAGAAGGGAAGAAAGAGAGAGAGAGAGAGAGAGAGGAAGGAAAAAAGAACGGGAAGAAAGCTGTTGTCCCGTTTGTCGAACGTTTCAAGAGGGGATTTTGATGGTTTCTCGAGCTTGGGATTTGGAGTTGTTTGGAATTTAGAAGAAATCAGAATTTAAAAAATAAAGGAATTAAATGCAATGCATTCATTTTATATTATTACAAAGAATAACGTTCAAATAATGAACAATAAACATTTAAGGTGCTCAACATTGGGATAAGCTATCATCGAGGTTGAAATGAAAAGCTGACTTAGTTCGAGATGACAGTACTAGATTCAAATTTCAATAATTATTAAGAAGTTATTTGAAATTCTTGAAATTTAAAGCGAACTTGGCACCGAGTTCCGGAATTGTTTTTGTTTCAAGAAGGTGGCACAGGCACTTAAGGCTTTTTTATCGTATTTACGCATTACTGTGGATATGGCGATGGAGTTTTTTCAAACTTTTCAGATTTTCTTAACTAAAACAATTTCGATTTAGATACTGAGTTTTTCCAGAGTATTAGAAGTTAATGAAATGGCATATCATAATTTTTCCACTTACACCAATAAAACATGTTGTTCAGTATTTTAGTTTTCGAGGGAGAGAGAAAAAAAGCACGTCTTAAGAATAGTGAATAAAGGTATCAGTAAGCTGTGAAAATTATTTAAAAATCATTTGTTGGAAATTAATAGTCTGAAAATATGATTGGATATGGTACCCAAGAATTGACATCGGTTGAGTACAGTGAAGCGGGTTTGATTACTGGAGTTGCGACGAGATTTCTTGTACAACCTCTTGATGTTTTAAAAATTCGATTTCAAGTATGTAATCAGTTCAGTTACATAGCAAATTGCTTTTTTTCAACCAAGTTGTTTAGTACAGCATGTCTGAATAACAAATAGCTGGCTGCTCATCATTTTATTTTATTAGCACATTCAAAAGGCTACAGAATTGTATTAGGGGACCAGACTAAGATAAATCTGGAACTGAAGTAACAGTAGTGCAACTTTTAATATCCTGAAATCAGTTCAGGTAAAAATTCTTTAAAAAATGTGTCTGTTTAGAAATAAACTTCATATAGTTGTCCTTAAAATCAGTATTGGACAAAATCCTAGGCATTTATAGGTTATTGTAGTTTTTTCTCAAAATGTGACATAATTGCTTTTCTGTTTGTAAACTTATTGGCATTACTGTTTAAGGTGCAAAGAGAACCAACATTCGGTAAAAGTAAAGGACGGTATCATGGCATCTTTCAAGCTTGCTCACGAATTTATAAGGATGAAGGATTAGTGGCATTCTGGAAGGGTCATGTTCCTGCTCAAGGATTATCCGCCGTTTATGGAATTGTGCAGTTTGCCACTTTTGAGTTCCTTACTGAACAGGCAACTCAATACCCTCGTATGTTTCCACAACTTATTCGGAAAATTGTGTAGAAGAAACTGATAAAAAAATATTGTGAATACTCTTACTTTTGATTTTCTAATTTCATACCTTAATTTAATCTGAGAATTTCAAATAACAAGTTTTCTGGATTTGTTTTATTTCTGTTCACATATTACTTTCAGCAGTCGTTTTCCCCTTCTTTTTCAGTTAAAAATTTGTGAAAATTTATTTTAAGTTGCAAATGAAAATCGACGAATAACGGATATAATATGCGGAGCGTTAGCTGGATGTGGAGCCATGGTTTCCTCATTGCCGTTTGATGTTATCAGGACAAGATTAGTCATTCAAGACCAGCATAAAGTACATTTCTATTGGATTAGTATTCCGGTCTAACCGTAGTGTGCAGATATTAGAGATACAGTTTAGTAATTATTAGGATTACAGATTTATAATGGGATGTTACAAGCTGTGATCTTCATTTGGAACTCGGAAGGTTTCCGTGGTTTTTTCCGAGGAATCACTCCATCTTTAATTCAGATTGCTCCTTTTATTGGTTAGTCATTGAAATAATTCGGAATTCTATTGTGTTTTAAAGTTTATACCTGTTTCATTTTCAAATTAAGGTAAATAACTTTCTATTTTGCAGGCTTGCAGTTTTCCTTATACAATGCTCTGAGCAATTCATGGGAAAGACTTCCATATTACTTAGGTATGTCACGAAGTTTCTGGGTGCGAAATTTTGTTGTCACTCTTTCCAAACTTTGAATCATTGAATCTGATAGAAAAATTTTCAGAATCTTTTGGATCGTTGTGTTGTGGTGCCTTGGCTGGTGTAATATCGAAAACAGCGGTGTATCCCTTAGACGTTGTGCGACATCGTTTACAAGTTTGTTTTAAGTTAAGCATCAAAATTTCTGTTAGAAAGAGCGAATAGCATGAATTTTATATCATGTTATTAAAGGTCTATTGCCGAACTTAATTGTTACTTAATATAATTAATTTGTGTAGGCGCATGGCTTCGGTCGTTTCAATCAATCACCATGGCATTCGATGCATTCCACTATTACGACCATTCTGAGAGATGAAAAAGTTGCAGGTATTAGTTTTTTATATTTTGGTTTAGATATTTGTTATTAACTTTTTCCTTCTATTGCAGTTTTTTGGTTTTGGTTTAAGTATTTGCAATGTCTTTTTTTACAACCGCTTTCCCAGTGTTCCCTTCTATAGGACTGTTCAAAGGATTATGGCCATCACAGCTCAAAGCTGCTTGCAGTTCCGGTTTAGCCTTCACGTTTTATGAAATTTGTCTGAAAGTAATGCAAGATCTCAAATCGCACTAATTCATGTGATGATACTCTTTATATTGCTTGATCAGTTTTAGTTACATTCAAAGTTTATTATAGGTTGGATGTTTTTAAATTATGACTCATATCACATGGTTTGTATAATTTAATAAAGGTTTTTATTGTATCAGAGGAATAAATTATCTAGCCTTAATCATTTGGAATAATAAAAAAATGAATGGAAGAGTTCGTTCTAAATATGAGACTGTATGAGAATATTGCAGTCATAACCGTTAAGATTTGAGTAAGACAGAAGTCTTATTTATTTTTTAGAAATAAGTTAATAGTCATACTAATACTTCATCTCTGTCTTTTGTCCTGTGTTTCTTATCAATAGAACAGTCTGGATAAATTTTGTTATTCTTTTTCATTGAGTGAACGCTCGTTGTTTTTGTATTTTTTCTGGGTAAAGTCTTTATCGATTCCGTCATCTCAGTTGTAATTTCTATATATTTTGTTTCGAAACATGGTCAAGGGTACTTGATGCATCTGGAGTCTTCAGTGACTTCTAGATTATATTTGTACTGATCAAATTCAACTACATTTCCATTTTTAAGTTAATGCTTATAGTCACAATTGTCTTATATTATTTCTTTTAAAGCTTTATAATATATTTATATGTTTGAAATTTGCAAAGTATAGTACGTGACGCATATTGTTTATTTGATAGTACAAATTATGAAAATTATGCGAGGTATTTTTTGTATTGTACGAATGAAAAACATTTATTTGTAATCTGTTCGCTTGATCATAATGAGTGTTACTACAGCTTTATCTTTGAAAATTCGTTGTTGAAATCCCTGGCAGCTTCTACGTATATCGTTAGGAATATGTAGCGATGTAGTGAGTCATACTACAAATATTTAAAACAATCACAGTATAAGGTGTTAAATATCCTAGTCAGTTCCTCCGGCGAGCGAATTACTATTAGTTGTACTCATACTGAAAAGGAAAAAGCTTTATTTGAAAGTTTCATGTTGGGATTAGGTTCGATCGAAGAAGTATATGTTTCCGCACAAACGGACATCTGGTTGCTGTGACCAGGATTTTCGTTTTAGTTGGTCTCGGAGGTTTTCTTTTTGAAGAGAAAGTGCGCATTCTTTGTAACTCACAAGGTTTCGCATATTCTGACATAAGAGCTATTCAGGCATGTAAGGAAGACGCGAGTGTGTGTTAACCGTTTGATTGATTTTCTATAGCTTTGGATTTTGTAATTTCAGGTCGTTTAGAATAATTTTTGGTATTCAAGTGTATATATGTCTTTGTGCAGAACTCTTCAGATTATTGAGGTTCTATTGCGGAAATTAGGAATTAATGTCCAATTGTTTTTACGTTGCTATAATTGATGGACATTTCTGAACTGCAGTCAGTCTCGCTGGAAGTTGAGCTCGATAGTGATATATATCCATCTCCTGCTGCTATCACAAAAGAAGTTTTTTTATGAAAAATCACAATGCAGATTACTTATCAGTGTTTAAATACTATAGAATATATATATATGAATTAAAGGCGCTGGGGTTCTATTTTTTTAGGATTATGGAGAGGAATCGATTTCTTTATTCTCTTTCAATAGTCCTCCTCCATGTGCATGGGATTTGGTCCCGGAAATTTCCGAAAACATTCCCATTACTGGATTACCAATGCGTGGATTACAGGAAGTAGAACTTTACCTTAATCCTCCATCACGTGGTTCAATGCTGAATTGGGAATACGTTGCCGCTGAATTTGGTTTTTCTAATAGCAGAATCATGGTTTGTATAATTTTATAAAATTATCAGTTTTTTTTTTTTTTTTTTTTTTTTTTTCTTGATTGAAAAACTTTCTAGCACTTGCGAACATCTACAAACCCGACTGCGGATGTGCTACTAGAGATTATTCATCGTCCTTTAAAAAACTTACTTGATGTATTGGCAAAAATCAATCGAGTCGACGCACTTTTATCACTCCAACCTTATCTTGAGAATGTGGTTGGAACTGGTAATACGGAAATATCGAGTTCTGATTCAGGTTTATTTTATTTTCGCATTTGATCATGTGACTAAAGATTTAGTCAGCTTCATTTCCATAGTGAAATGATAAATTAATTTTAGGGTAGTTTAAATTCAGACTTTCGTAAAATTAAACAGAAGTATTTTTTTGCAGGTGCTTATATGAATGCGGCAAAAAGCGATGTCCTTATATATTCTTCATCTTCGAGCAGTAATTCAGTACGTCCTACTGCGTCGAATGCTAATACTATAATTAACAACCAAAAATGTAATCTTTCACTCTCAATGAAGTTCTTAAGACATTTCCAAAACCGAAACATATTTCTCTGAAGGGATATGAAAGAAATTTGATATTTTACAGTTATTTTGGTGACACATCATGAATTTGTTACAAATGTTGCGTTGCGGAAAAATTACAAATGGTTTCTGAAAAATTTGAGGTGATGATAGATTTTCTCTTTTTTAAGATAGTAATTGATTTCCTCAGACTCTGTAATTAGTCCATAAAATGTATGTGGTAATTCTTGAGAAATCTTTAATCCAATCTCCCAATTGGGAAGTATGAAACATATTTTTCTCCCCACATTTTACTAAGTCATTCTATGAAAGCTGAAATGTGTAAGCAGATATTATAATAAAGGGATTAGCAACACCTTTTCATAGTTCTATTTATTTCAGGAAGCAAGCTAGGGAAATTAGCATGTCAGTATTTGATATTAACGATTACTTAGAGGCAAGCTGCCAGTTCGAAGGCCTACATACTTTATTTGCTGATGTAAGTTCTTGTTCAATATTTAATTGTTTGAAAAAATTCTGGGCTTAATAACAAATATGAAAAACTGTCCAATTAATCAAGCAGTTAATGAAATCTCCCTCTCGTTTCACTTCCCAGTTTGTTAAAGTATGGGATGTCATGATTGGATTTGATTTTTTATATCCATTCTTTATATGATTTTTTTTTCTCTTTTATATTTTCTGGATTTCGTTTTAAATTATCCTCTCCCTCTATGATTTATTCCGGATGTTGGTTGGTACTTATTTAAACAAAACAAAAAAAGTTGAGTAAAACCCCAATCAATTTAGGCCTCTCATATTATTTGTGTTTTCACGGATGATTATATGGAAATGTTAAAATCAAATGGAAAGGAACAAGTAGTGACTGTGAAGCAATATTTGCATAAACTTATGAATGGTGAATTCATGGAGCAAGGAAGTAACCAACGTTTTTGTGCCGTAATTTTTCAGGTAACCAAAGTATGGATTTTTTCAACTGTTTATGTTATGTAGAAGGCAAAGGGCAATGTTTAGCAAAACTTTCCAGTTTCTGTACTTTTCTGCTACGAACATCTTTCATGATACGAGAGATGGGAAAATTAAGTAGTGTCGAAGGACGAAGGACTCATTCGGAAATTTCAGTCATTTCCAAAAGGACACTACTTGGCAGCTTTAGTCAGGCAGTCTAATCGACTAACAGTTCAACTATAATAGTTTGGCAACTGTGCTGACTGTAAAGCCGGAATGAGTTGATGACAGCACAATTTTTACTGAATTGTTTTTTAAAGGAAGATACAGTAGCTTACGATCATTCTTTTTTCTTTTGTCTAAAAAAAAGGATACTACTTGGCAGTTATGGTAAGTTAGTCTGACTAACAGTTCAATCCTAACGGTGAATTGGTATATCAATAAATGTCGAAGCGAACGAAGTTATATACAAAAGAAACTTCTGATGTATGAAAAAGTACAAAGGATAGAGTGGAAACGCCCAATTGTTAATATTTCAGGGAACAGGGCGTGATATGCTTCCCCTTGGCTGGGCCAAGAGTACACTAGTGTATGAATTCCCTGCCAATCATGTACAGCTGTTTCGAAAATTGTTTGCAAAACACTGAACTGAACTAAATGCATATATTTTCAGTGAATTCAGAAGAATGAATTTGTGTGATTTATATCTTTCATGTATGCCTGTTGTCACTCAAATTGGTAAGCTAATAAATTATATACAAATTTAAATGACAAAACGTGCTTTACTAATTAAAATATTGTGCAGTTTACTAACTGAAAATATTGTGTATTTGAAGAATTGAACCTTGAGTGAGCGATGCAGAAGGAAACAAAATATACATGCAGAATTATGGTTACTGCGAAAGAGGGGCTATGGGTAGAATAAGTCTCTCACACTTCACCAAAAGCACTGACCGTGGCCTTATCATTTATGATATTTTAAGAGCTTTTGATTTTCACCGAGAAGAGATTTAAGCTGATTATGATTCCGACTTCCTATGATGTCAGTAGGATTTTACTCGCTTATCTTACATAAATTGTCAACTATTTCAACTTAGACTTGACTAGTTCGACTTCTCAATACAAGCAATTAGAAACCATATGACAGCTACTTGATATGATATGTGTACGTGATATCCACAAGTATACTATGGTGCGGCAGTTTTTCAATCTAAACCCATTCAATCGTTCCCAGGCAACCTTATTCGTGTTGTCGTTGATGGTATTACTGTATTCTATCACCTTATTCAACTTATAAATTTAAAACAGAACAAGGAAGAGACGATTTCGCCACTTTGTTTGAAATCCCGGAAGACAACGAAAAGAACCTAAGCTAACTGGTTCATAGATGTTATGCATAATTAACACTGGATAGAGTTAAATAAATTTCCGCTAAAAGTAAGCTTTCTGAGCTCTATATAGCACTGGACAATAAAAGAGGAAAGGATAGGAAAGATAAAAGGTGATAGGAATTTTCGGATATTATAGCAAAATCCTGATGCCTACGACGTCTCGGGGTGTTTTCGGGATGAACAATAATTATGTTGTAGCATTGTGACAAGTGGTTGAATTTTGTGCTGGGAATTGTTTTTTTTTTTTTTTTTTTTTTTCACTCTTTTTGCCTCGAATTTCCCTTTTCCAGGAAATTTGTTACTAACAGGAATATCTTGTAAATCCTTCGATGAAGTCAAAAGATGCACAAAAGTAATACCTAGATAGAAAGACCACAAAATCTTACAAAGTGTCGAGGTAACAGGTTTCCCAGTAGCAAGACAAACCACTTATTAGATTCGCAAAATGGCCACAAACCCAAAGGCGATAGTAAGCTTCATATCGACTGAAGTGAGTGTTGAAAGAATGACGAAGTTGACAGATGTGGCTGAGAATTGAGAGTAGGAGTTATGGCCCAGTGGTTAGTCATTTCTAATTCCTAAATTATTAATGTATTTCTTATCATCCCATGTTTGTTTGGTAGCACATTATCATTGTACTGATATATTTTTCGTGTTCTACCAACGATTTTCATTTAATTTGTTACCAGTTTCTTCACTCTTTGTTTTGTCCATGTAACGCATCGAAAAATTTTTTTCCATAATAAAGATTTTGTGGTTTATTTAATTTTAGTTAAAGTAATCAGGTCTTGGCTAAGTTTTGTAGTACAAGTAAGACTGAAATTATGTAACGCAGTAAATATCTCACGTTGTGGATTTGTGAATCTAATCTAACAGATGGCTGTTCATATTGTTTTGTTGCTTTTGCTATTAGAAAAGATCAATTTTACCGCTGTTAATTTTTTGAATAATGCAATTGGTTGTTTAAGAATGGATTATGATTATTTTTGTAGAATTTTAATAAAATATATCCATATCATTTCGGATTACGTCAAAGGAGTCAACATGAAGATAGGATGAATAAATTCAAGCTAACTGATATATTTCAGGTTACTGTATGAGAGACATGTGGCTGTGAAAGTATATGTCGATCGGAAAAAATTAAGTCTTCAACTCTGTAATCTGCAACAGCACACTCTAAATTTTGGTGACAACTAAACGTTAACATTCTATATTCTTTCCTGACATTATCGCAATTACATTGAACGTATGTTTATTATTTTGTTTGTCCTTCATTAATCTGCTAAATGCTTTGTCATACCTCTCACGAATACATTGATTTTAATATTTGCAAGATGAATTATGAATTACTGTAATCCTTTAAAATCATCTCTCTTCGGTCTTGCACATTCTTTTTTACCTTGTAAGGATATATTTGAGAACAGTTCATTAAGCAATACTTGTAACGTTGCGAGATGATTTAGATCTGCAGTAGGTTTCACCGAAGACTTAGTAATTCATACTTCGACATTATTTTTTGGGATTAAAGGTTTGAGGTAAATAATATTTTGTTTTATTATATATACGGAATGTACATTAAGATATTCCTTTATAACGTAGTTAATTTCTCGACTATATATTGTTGGTAGTGTGACTTGTATTTATTTTATATGTCTTTTTTAAGCGCAGAGTTGTAAGAGGAAAAATTATCTTTTAATTTATAAAAAGTAACTCTTGCTTGTAATGATTTCTTTTCTTCAGCTAATCGCGTTATTCACTGCTTTGGTAACAGAGATGAGTAAACAGTTGTTCTCCTCGAAAGCGGATAATCGAATAACTACTGTGGTCGCTACACCTGGTTATGGACCGGATCGACAAGTTGAAGTACAGTACTCCGATACTAAGGTCATTGATTGGAATTTATGTTTGCTGAAGTAAAAAATAATGCTAAATTTAATTCTAGTCTTCGTGGAAACAATGAAATACAGTTATATACATACCAGCATTTGTATGATGCTCAGGGTTCATGGTTTTTTCGTCCTTTGTTGGATAAGAAAGACCAAAATTATCATCTGTATTATGAGATTAATAACATAGTCCGAAGGATAGTAAACAGTACCTCATTTTGGCATACTATGATGTACTTTTTTTTTGTTCTTTATCCGTGGTAACCATTGCCCTCAGTTAGAGAAATTGTCACGTAAGATAATGGATTTTGTGCAAACAGAATCGCAATAAGTGATAAAATCTAGCAGTGTCAAAGTATAGCGGAAAAAGACATTGATATGACACTTCCAAAAAAAAAAAAAAAAAAACGAATTTAATTTCTGAAGTTCTTTTATATTAGTTACTTATTTGGTTATTATTATTTACCATACCATTTGCAGGTAATAGGCAACGGTTCTTTCGGAGTGGTTTATCTTGCCAAACTTGCTGATACTAATGAGCTTGTTGCGATCAAAAAAGTTTTGCAAGATAAAAGGTTTAAGGTAAATTTTAATGAGTGAAATTCAGTAATTATTCATTATAAATGCATAATTTTTCTGTTATTACGTGATATTTCATGTTTCTGATGAATACCCATACATTTCATTGCAATGGAAAACTTTAGTCATAGTGGGAGCTGAATACTATGAAAGGAATTTACGGGAAAGCTTCTGCAAATAAGTATGCTTTATTCATATGATTATTGCTGTAAAGGCCTGTATTCTCGAAGGATATGCAGTGTTCGATTAATGGATTTTTCTTTGTTCTCGATCTTAAATTGTCAAAGTTTTGTTTTTACTGTTGTCTTATATGGACGTTTGTTTAGTCGTTCTTGTATTAAATGAGTGATAGATTTTGAAATTAGAAATGTTGAAGGTGAAGCTTTTCAGAATCGCGAACTGCAAATAATGCGCAAATTGGAGCATCAAAATATTGTAAAATTGAAATATTTCTTTTATTCTAGTGGGGAAAAGGTATTTCATTTCATACGACTTTTATCAATGCTTTTGTATAGTATGTTTTCATCACATTGTATATCACACTGTTTCTGTTCTTGTACACTTTTTTAACGTTTATATGGTGGAATATTACTTCTGTGATAAACCACTTAACTTAGATAGAGGTTGGTAATTCTTCTGTTCTCTTTTGATTTGTTTTTTTTTTTTTTTTAATCTAGTAAAAAATGATTTACTTCATTTGCTTCAGAAAGATGACTTGTTCTTAAATCTTATACTCGAGTATATACCAGAAACTGTTTATCGTGTTGCACGGCATTATTCGAAACAGCGACAAATAATACCTGCACTTTACATAAAGGTGAAATTTAAATAAAATTTGTAATTACGGACCTTTTTTCCAATTAAATTGCATCGACATATGAAGTTTAATCGGTGTTTCAAAGCATTCATGTTACAGCTATATATGTACCAGTTATTTCGAGCATTGGGATATATCCACAGTTTGGGCGTTTGCCATCGAGATATCAAGCCGCAGAATTTATTGCTTGATCCAGATTCAGCAGTGCTGAAGCTTTGTGATTTTGGTTCTGCAAAACATCTTGTTAGAGGGGAACCGAATGTGTCCTACATTTGCTCTCGGTACTTTTACCAATGTTGTTATGCTGGCATATGTTTGTTTTTTTTTTTTTTTTTTGTGTAAATTCATGTTTTCTTCTGTTTTATTTGATTATTTTTTCTGCATATACTGTTCTATTTTTAGCTACTATCGTGCCCCCGAATTGATATTTGGCGCGACGGACTACACAACGAGCATTGGTAAATACTTAAATATTTCATTTTTTCATATTGCTGTAAAATAGTATTTGAACATGGAATCAGTTTTCCATCGTTAAAGTTTTTGATTTCAGATGTTTGGTCGGCAGGAACGGTGCTTGCGGAGCTTTTGCTGGGACAGCCAATTTTCCCTGGCGACTCAGGTGTAGATCAGCTCGTGGAAATCATTAAAGTGTTGGGTACACCCACACGTGATCAAATACAGCAGATGAATCCAAATTATACTGATTTCAGATTCCCGCAAATCAGAGCTAATCCTTGGCAACGTGTATGTCTATTAACTCATTACTTTCTGTTTTTATATTTTTCGAAACTAAAGTTGTGTAATGTATACTATCATTCATCATTATCTTAATGTTACTGGATTACATCATGACATGAAGCTAATATATCATCTCTTAACCAACACAGATCATATCTTTACAATGAAGTCATCACTCGTATTATTCATCAGTCATGTTCCAGGAGTATAGAAACTCGTAATTTCAGGTGTTTCGTCCACGAACTCCCTCGGAAGCGGTCGATCTCGTCTCACGTCTTTTGGAATATACGCCTAACGCTCGGCTGTCACCACTTCAAGCATGTGCTCATACATTTTTTGATGAGTTACGCCATCCTAATTGCAAACTGCCAAATGGTAGACCAGTGCCACCAATTTTCGATTTCTCTGAACAGGAATTGCGCATCGAACCTAATCTTAATGCTGCTCTTTTACCTCAGAACTCAGCAAGAGGTCTGGTATTTTTCATTATTACTAAATTTGTTTAGATTATGTTTAGTTTGAATTTCTTCTTAATGAATATTAGAACAAAATCTTCATTAATTTAGTTGTTCGTGCTTATGATGTTTTTTTATCTGTTTTTTTTTTTTTTTCTGCTTTACTTATTTGTTGATTTTTAGGACCATCAACGGCAGCAGTAGGTAGTTCATCATCGTCACCAGTGGAAGCTTCATCAGTGGCAGGGGCTCCAAGCGGTTCCACTTCAGCTGTTAATAATGAGCCAACTTCCACGGATGCGTGAACCTCATACAGTGAAAACCTGTTTATGAATTTTGCTGCAAGTCTTCTGTCGGTAATGATAATTGCTGACTTCTTAAAATCTCTTTCTGTCTTTGTTACTTCTTGTGTGTGTGTGTTTTTTTTTTGTACATATTTACAGGTAACAATTAAATTTGACTGAATATTGAATCTAATTTTTTTTTTTTTTCAAGAATTTCGCTTTTCATTTTTTCAATTTGAAATTTCATGATAAAACAATATTATTTTATTATCCTGTGGAATAAGTCATTTGTGATCCAAAAAGGTGATCCTTACGTGATTCCGGATGGTTTCGGATTTCAGATGTGATTTTCTTTTATTACATTTTCGCTTGTTTAAGTTGCTTTTTTTTTCACTTTTATTGTGTATACGCAATTGTAAGAAATTCTCTTCAAGGGAGTGGATCTGCATTCACGAAAAGCTTAATAACTTTTTTGTTTGATAAATTTTTGGTTCGACATTGTATAACTGTGCAGCTCTGTATGATTTAGATGTTCTGATGAACTCAAAAAATTTCATCTTTCTATGGTAATTTGCACTGCATCAGCTTTATCCATATGTTGTCGGCAAATATTTCACTGTTTATTCTTACCCATCAATTTCTTCATAGAGTAATATTTTAGAATTATGTTATTTCTTTTTGAAAACATGTGGAAGTAAATTTGATAGCTGTATTTCCTTTAAAGTTTTTCCACATTGCATAATATCTTCATTTTTTATCAAATTCTTGTGTTCTAGAACTTATCATTTGCTCTGAAAGAATTATAAAATTTTTGCAGTTCTTGTAGTGCATTTTTTGTACTTTAATAGATTAATATTATTAGCACGTGCACCTACTTATACATATTCTGTTCAGTTCTGGTTTTTGAGCAGTTTCTTTTTAGTTCATTTGCAGTTCATATCTTGAAGTAAAGCAAAGAAACTCTTTAGAGTGTGGGAAGATGCAAGTTTCTTTTTTTTTCCTTACACTAGCATGTAATATGTGATCAGTAATTTCTTTAAGTGAAATTGTGGCAGAAGTATAACTTTTGCAGTTGGTGATTATTACTGCCTGCTTTCTACATGTACTACTGCTAATTAAGTTTTACTTTAAAATCCACCCATTTGAACAATAATTTCTCCATTCGTAATTACGTTGTGTTTATACATATACAAATATTTTGCTGTGCTTGTCGCATTTCATATCTAAAATGTGACCGATACTTTCTGTATTTTCTCTCAACAGCAATACTAAATGATTTTCTAACAATTCTGATCAGTTTAATCGTTTCTAGTTTCAGTCGTTCAAATATTTGTTTCGAATTGTGTGAAACATGTAAGAGCTCAATTGTGGGCTGTTTTTTTTTTTTTTTTCTTTTTTTTTCTTTTTTGTGTGACATATAAAGAACACCACAGTTGTAAATGTTTCTTATTCTATAGAGATTCCGTACCTTACCCCGTTTTTATGAATCGCATTTTCTGTCTATTATGGTTCTATACAATCAGAATATTTATTAGATGATATTACCGGTTTATTTAGCAGAAAAATTACTACTAGTTGCTTATTATTCATTTCGAACGTACTTTCTGGTTTATCAAATTGAGTTTAAATCAGTTGTCAGAATATCAGCGCGAGTGTCCTTCCAGTCCAGTGCAATTTATGACAGATCTCCATTGTTGTAACGATGAGAACCCCATCTCTTAATGTTAATAAGCATCTTTATTAGCTTTTATTATATGTAGCAGTGAAATTAGTGGAAATTTAAAGTCCTTTTTTTTTCGTTCCCTATATTACTGTCCTGTAAGTATCATGAAGTTATCGCTATGTTATTTATCGATAATGACATTTAGTCTAGTTAATTTGATTTGATAGGAAAACTTTGGCAGAGACGGAGACAATGTAATGCGAAATGTTATCAATAATGTTAACTTCTTTGAGTCTTAAGTATCGTTTGTTATTTACTTAGTGCTGAGATTCGTGCTATTCTCTTTTCTGTAAGTGTAAGCAATACTATATAAGCATGTAAGGTATTTCAATGGTAAGGATGACTTATGTAAGACACTGTTGACTGGGTAAAAAGAATTTAGTTGGATTTTGTTCCGATTACTTAACTAATTACAATCGAGTTAAATTCATTGGTGTAATGGGTTTTTGAGTAGCCATGCAGAATAATGAAAGTCTGAAATCCTTTTTTTATTGGAGGGGATTGTGCTACGTACTTCCAACTGTATAAATTTAGTTTCAAATTTGAGTTGAAGGTGTAGTTTCAAATGAAATTACTCATTACTGAAGAATTTTTTACCCAAACAGTCCTCTGCGTTTACCACAATCTTTGTTTAAAATCAACATATTTATCTAAAATGTTTTCCCAGAAAATTCCTTTAAATTGTATTTTTTTTTTTGCATATAAATATTCATTGATAAGAATACGGACAGTTATTGAAGATAAAGATTTTTGAAAGTGCGCAATAAATTTAGCATAACTCCTCAGCAGATAGGATCGTTTCCATCCAGATCTCGACTCAATCGTAATGGAACGAAACCAATATCACCTTGATTTGGACCATTGTTTTCAGCCGAAACATATATCTGTATAAAATATTCTTTCTTTAAATTTGAAAACTTCAACTGAGATTTCAATATTTAATTCAGTGATTTAGCATTAAGTTTTTCTGAATGAAACGAATGCTATGAAATTACTGAATCAACCTTATACGTTCCAGTCGGCAGTTCGGTGCATTGAAAATTCCATCGTCTGCTTTCCTAAGGAGATTCTAATAAGTGATTTGTATTTCAAAGCAGAGATTGTAGAATTCGTAAATTCTTTTCAGTTTCCTAATTATAAAGGCATAAATATATGTATATATATATACTTCAAAAACACCACAAATCAAGATTTCATTTGAAAAATGAGTTGTTTTTGCTTAGAGGGAGTTCCAAAATAGTAAAAGTCTATTCAATTTACTTATTCAAGCATAAAAACTCATTTTAAATATTGATTCAGTAGTAGTAATGTCAGTTAAACTTGATACTGTAAACACCTAATAATTGATCAGGAAAAGAGACTTCTATATAATTTCTATAATTTTAATGCTTGAAATGGGGACAGTTGGAAGCCATGAGCAAATTCCAGTTTTACGACTTACAAATTTTATTCATCACAGATTTTGTAAAGAGCGATTGAACAGCTTAATTTATGTGATATAAATTGCATTTGTACTTATTTACTGAGTGTTTTTTATTTCGATGCAGAAATTATTTCGCATTATTTTGACATCGTAATTATAATTTTTTCTCGAATTAACATGCATCTTGTCTGCTACATAGTTACGTTCTAACTGCAGCGCATTTTGCACTAAATTTTTACTTTAAACAGTTTAATGATGAAGCAGATTTCGTTCATTACCTGTAAATGGCCATCCTTAGGGATACCAGTTTTTGAGTAAAAACATTTTTTGTTAAATTCATCTGTACACATTGTGAAGCGTGCTCCTTCAACAGCAAAATATTCATAGAAGCAGAAGTGCACTGGATGTGTCCAGGTTGAAATACTTAGCATCGGGCTGATAATCTGTCGGATAGAATTTTCGGAATTACTGTTATAAGATGCTACAAGGAATGCATTCGTTCCAGCAGGTGGTACCATAATACCGCTCAACGGATTTGAAAAGCCGTCAGTTCCTGTCGATGCCATCCATCCAGAAATGCCTTTTTGCCATCCACAGTATTTCTCTGTAGATTCATAATGCTTAAATTCTAACAAACTGGCTATAGAATACTTGGTAGACAATTTTACGGAAAGATACTACAAGAAATTGTGCGTGTTTCTGCTAGGTAGTTGAGATGTATAACATTTCATCTCATTTTTATTTCTTCTTATTAAAGATGATGTGCGAGTTATTTGTGAGCAACAGCTAGTCTAAATGATGATGCAAATATTTCGACTCGATACGACGTAAATGCAGTAGATTCTGCTTAGGGCAAAGTCTCAACGTCTTTTTCTTTTTCAATACAAACTTTCTTAGTCTTCATCAGTAGTGGTCAAAATTTGTTTCTTTTTTTGATGGGTAAAAATATAAAAACAATTGTCACAACAACACCTTACCAGCAGGATTGCAGGACAGTTTCAAGCATTCAAGCATTAGAGAATCTGCTAATAAAGGTGATGCGAACTGTAGTATGGATGACTGCTGTAGATTGGACATTTTTTGTGTGGGACCTAATTCTTGAACTTCAACAAGACTGTTGCTAGAATCTTGGAAGTTATGCAAAGGAATCAATCGTTTAGCTTTTTGTTGCTGTGGTTTATTGAAATTTTTGGTTGTAAGTGGTGTTGTTATGATGCAGTCTGGTACAAGATTACCACCCACAATGATATCCTGTACAAATATAGCACCGCCATATTTTCCAACAAAATTATCACCTACTAAAATAATCTGAAATATAGCAATTTTAAGAAAAGTTCAACATATTTCTATCACTACAATTTGAAAATTTTCGATTTTTCATATTGAGAGATTAAATTGTTAGCATGCAGATATAATTTCAAATAATGGACGTTACTCTGTTTTCAAGAAATTTTGCGATATTTTGAAGGGAAATATCAAGGCAAGATTATTGCTCTTCAAATGACAAAGTGGAATTCTGATGTGATTAAAATTTAGTACTATAATTTTATTAACTATGAGTTCAATTTTAGATAGAAAATCTTTTCTTTCTTTGCTTATCAGTATGCTTCTTGCTTATTTGGAAATAAATCAGTCTATTTTTGAGCACTAATATTATCATAAATACATTCTTCTGAATTACATGCATGCTTAATTCGGGGACTTTTTGACCAGTCATAAAATTTAAACAATACCTGGGCAGGTGTAGTGGGATCACGTGGTTCGGGTATGTTCACAGTAACCGGCATGCCATTTTGTATAGGAAACAAGATGCAATTTGAATGGGTTTGATCGATATTGGTATTACGACTACAAATCTGTAAATTTGGTTGTTGT